TACAGGCAGAGAATTCTTCTAAAGCAAAACTTTCTTTTCAAGCTGCTATCATCATGCTGACCAAGCAGGGATATTTTGTCAATAGAAAAGGCAAGAAGGAAAAATAAGAGAAACATTTCTGAACTAGGATAACAATATGTACCCACAGTTGCTACATAGACACAACTTAGTGCAACTGTAAGGAAAGATGAAATCAGGCATGGTGCTGAGTGATAGGAATCGGAGGGAGAGGGACACAGAATGAACTGTCTCACTGTATCACTGTCAACTTGTTGTTCACCTATTTCCTTGTTCGCAGCCAACACGGCCGACCCAGGTTCGATTCCCAGCATCCCATATGGTCCCCTGAGCACCACCAGGAGTAATTCCCTAGTGCATGAGCCAGGAGTAACCCCTGAGCATCGCCGGGTGTGACCCAAAAAGCAAAAATAAAAAAGAAAAAGAAAAAGAAAGAACACACCAATGTAACAAAATTTGTTATGGAACATCCAGTCCTCATAAAGATGTCGGAAAATAGTTACTTTAGAGACTAGCTGGTGGGAGCAAAAAAATTTTTTTGAAAAGTAATTTGATAACAGAACCTTTTAAAAATTTCACAAGGAGGGTCAGGGAGAGCTGGAGGAACTGAGCACATGCTCTACATGTGCATGCAGAGGTCTGGATTGGATCCAAGCACCTCACCCACTGTTGTTCAAACACCAAGGAGAGTAATTTCCCAATGATAGAATCGGAAGGAGCTCCCACAAGAAGCATCAGGTGTGACCTCCAAAAGACAACGAGTAATCTTAAAAGGATATATTTCTTTTTAAATTTAGATTCTGTTTCAGGGCACTTCTTCCACAAAAATAAAGATACTGGACTAAAAATAGGGCTCAGAAGCCTGGGGCATATGCAGTGCCTATGTGTACACGGGCTTCAAGCCCAGCACTAACAATTTCCTAAGCACAACAGACAGGGTGGAGCCCCTGAGCACCACAGGGTGTGGCCCCCAAACGAATAAATATTAGTTTAAGATGCTACTGCTTATTGCTGTATTACTTGTGATGGTCCAAAACGGAAAATCTAGTCCTGGAACCATAGCACAACCAGGTATAGCATTTGCCTTGCGTGCAGTCGACCTGGGTATAATCCTCAGCATCCTATATGGTCCCCCCAAGTCCTGCCAGGAGTGATCCCTGAGTACTGCTGGAAGGCGGTGTCCCCAAGACCAGAAGAAAAAACTCTATTGAAAACAAGTTCAGAGAACTGGCTCAATGGGCCAACATACACGCTTTGCTATAAGAGCCCCAGCTTTGATCCCTGGCACGACATGGTCCCCTCTAAGCACCATTATGTGACTCCCTCCTTCCAAGAAGAAAAACCTGGGAACAACCTAGATATTTTTTTGGTGATACCTTATTATGACATCTTATTATCTCATCCCTACTTTGGACAAACAGGCAGGCTACCGAATGTAGCCTGCCCACAGGGCAGAGTCTGGCAAACTCCCCGTGGTGTACCCAATATGCCCAATACCAGTAACAATGATGGGGCTCATTCTCCTAACCCTGAAAGAGCCTGTAATATGGCACTTTTAAAAAATCTCAGGGCTAGGATGAAGGAGACGTTACTGGGGCCTGCTCGAGGCAATCGACGATTAACAGGATGATTTGTGATTGACAATGTATTTACTGATGGTACACAAGGTGGGGTTCATTATGCCCCTCCTTTGCCACATCTGTTTTCCCACATCTAAATGAGAAAGATGCTGTTTACGTTGAGGGCCAGGCCAGCCCGCATGGAGGATGGAGGAGTGAGTGTCACTGATAGGCACCTTGGTCCTCTGTGTAGCCCAGAAGCCCATGAGGGCCCATGAGGCCACTGTCACCTCCTGCTCGATGTCGTCTACATGGCAGCTTACTCCAAGTGGCAGATTAGACCCATGACAGACATATTTGGAGTCAGCATCCCAGTCAGCGCAGGGATGACTGTGTCCACAGCCTTTGTGCTAGTGGCAACGGGAGTGATGTTCTGGGCGATCCCTTGGCTGTCAGCCAGTTTTCTATGGATCTTCTGGATGGCAGTGGTGGTGTGGCTATAGTCTTCAGTCCTCCATGGGACCAGAGTTGTCTTAGGTGACCTTGACCAGAAGGTCCAAGCAGTTGGAGGTGAAGGAGACCTTGCTGACAATCTAGAGGGAATTGAAGACAACCTAAATTCCTAAAAAACAGAAACACCTCAAAGATATTGTGGGTTTGAGTCTAGACCTCTACAATAAAACAAATACGACAGGCCAGAGCAATAGTACAGCAGGTAAGGCATTCATCTTGCACCCCGCTGACCAGGGTGAGATCCCCAGAATTCCATATGGTTCCCTGAGCACGCCAACAATGATCCCTGAGCACAGAGCCAGAGCCAGAGCCAGGAGTAAGCCCTGATCACCACTGTGTGTGGCCAAAACCCAAAGTTATAGCTATGTTATGCTGGGCACTATTAAGCATATAGTAGAATTATATCTAAAAACTATGTACTAGTTGCTAAAAAATGAAACTCATTATGCAAGTGTGTTGAGACGACGGTACCAATAGCTGTGGTTGAAGCAGGGTTACCACAAATCTTCAATTTGTACAAAATGCAAAATCTGCCACGTGGTAATAAACTGAAGTTTGTTCGTATGACTTGGTGAAGTATTATACAACTGGTTAAAAGAACAGTTTTATCCTTTTATGGATTTCGATCCTTGTACATGAGTCAAAACAAAAAGGTCCCTGGGCCAAAGATCATTTAGGAAGTAAAGTCTTGCCACTGCAAGCCACCACCACGACTTCAACCCAGGTTCAAATCCCTGACCCCACCCCACATCAGTGGAGCCCCTGAACACTGCAGAGTGTGGCCACCCTCTAATCCCCACCAAAGTCCCAAGGCACGACCTGTTACATTCAAGACTAGGAAATTGACAATTTCACCCTAAATGAGAAACAGCAGGTGAGGAGGGGAGGGGTACTCCACATTTCTATCCCATTTCGACGTCCCCTGACCTGTTGAAATATGTACAATTTACAAAGCAAGCAGCAAGAAGCCACAGGCCATTTACACCCACAGAGCCTCCACACAATAAACAAAATGGAAGTTTCTCAAAAAACTAGAAATTGTGGGGCTGAGGGATAGCACAGTGGGTAGGGCATTTACCTTGCACGCAGCCAACATGGCCAACACGGGTTCGATTCCCAGCATCCCATATGGTCCCCCAAGCACCGCCAGGAGCAATTCCTGAGTGCATGAGCCAGGAGTAACCCCTGAGCATCGCCGGGTGTGACCCAAAAAGCAAAAAAACAAAAAAAACAAAAAAAATCTAGAAATTGAGCTCCCATTTGACTAGCAATATCACTTCTGGAAATACATGCTGGAAATGCAAAAAAGTATGGTAGAAATCACATCTGCACTTGTATGCTTATTGCAGTCCTTTTTACAGTAGCCAGGATCTGGGGGGGGGGGGGGGGAAGCCCTAATGCCCGAGAACAGATGACTGGTTGAAGAAACTTTGGTATATCTATGCAATGGAATACTATGCAGCTGTTAGAAAAGACGAAATCATGGAATTTGCATACAAATGGATAGAAAAAGAGCGTATCATGTGAAGTGGAATAAGTCAGAAAGTGAGGGACAGACATAGAACGACTCCACTCACTCGTGGAATATAAAGTAACATAATATGAGACTAACACCTAAGGGCCAGGAGTATCCCTCCAGGGCTTGGAAGCTGATCTCATGTGCTGGGGGGGAAAGGCAGCTGGGACAGAGAAGGGACCACTAAGTAAATGATGGTTGGAGGGCTTGCTTGGGATAGTAGATGTGTGCTGAAAATAGACTATGGACCAAACATAATGGCCGTTTAGTACCTGAATTGCAAACCGTAACACCCAGAAAGAGAGAGAAAGTGGGAACGTGCCTACCACAGAGGGAGGGATACTGGAAACATTGGTAGTGGAGAACAGGCAGGGTAGAGGGATGGGTACTTGAACATTGTGTGACCAAGGGCTGGAGCGATAGCACAGCGGGTCGGGCATTTGCCTTGCACGCGGCTGACCTGGGTTCGATCCCCGGCATCCCATCTGATCCCCCAAGCACTGCCAGGAGCAATTCCTGAGTGCAGAGCCAGGAGTGACCCCTGAGCACTGCTGGGTGTGACCCAAAAAGGCCAAAAAAAAAAAAAACCATTGTGTGACCCAAATTCAATGAGACAAAAGTGTAAGTCTGTAACTGTCACTCACAGAGATTCATTAAACAAACAACCACACAAACAAACCAATAAACCCAGCCTTGCCCGCGCCCAAAGGCAGGAGGGGCGGGGCTTCCGTGGCCACGCCCCACGCCACGCCCACCCCGCCAGCCACACTGGAGGCTCACGTGAGCACGGCCGGGCCCGCGGGGACGCATGCGCAGTCGCCCTCCTCCGGGCGCTCGGGGAGGGCAAACCCGCCGCGTGGAGTTTGGCCCCGCCGGGGCCCCGTCCCGCGGACCGGAAGCGCACCTGGGCTCCGCTTCCGGCGCCGCTCCGGCGTCCCCGCCCCTCCCTGGCTCACGCGGCTCGCCGCCCCCGGCTCCCCGCTCTCCCCGGTTCGGTTCTCTCGGGCGGAGCGCGGCCTCCCGGGCGGAGTCTGCGGGGCCGGGCGGGCTGCGCGGCGGCTGCTGGAGGCGCCCGGAGCCGGAGGCGGAGGCCGCGGGGGCGGGACCCGAGGCGGCGGCGCGGGCCGAGCCGCGCTGGGCTGCGGGGCCGTTGGCGCTGAGGTAGCGGGCCCGGCCGCTGAGGTAGCGTCTCCCGCGGGCGGCCCCGTGCGGGGCTCCGCGAGTGCCCGGGCGAGCGCGGGGATGTCGCGGGGCGCGCGGGCCTAGGCGGGCGGGCGCCCGGGGCTCCGGAGACGGACGACCCTCGCCGGCCGCGGCCCCCAGGCCCCTCCCCGGCGGGCGCCCGTCGCGCCGCCCCGCCCGCCCCCCCCTCGCGGCGCGCGGCGTCCGGCGGCGGCATGTCGGCGCGGCCCGGGTGCGTGGGGCCGGGCGCGGCCCCCGGCGCGGCCCGGGCCTCGGAGGAGATCGAGGAGCTGCAGCGAGCGGTGGTGGACGAGCTGGGCATCTCCATGGAGGAGCTGCGGCTCTTCATCGACGAGGAGCTGGAGAAGATGGAGTGCGTGCGGCAGCGCAAGAAGCAGCTGGCCGAGCTGGAGACGTGGGTGGTCCAGAAGGAGACGGAGATGGCCCAGGTGGACCAGCTCTTCGACGACGCCTCCCGGTGAGCGCCCCGGCGCCGCCCCTCGGGCGTCCGGCGTCGTCCTCCTCTTCCTCAGGGACGGTCGTCTTCAGCCCCCGGAGGCCAGTACCTGAGCGGTTGGGGGTCCTGGTCTTTCCTCAGGCCCCTTGATTTTTTTTTTTTTTTGGTCGTCCCGTGTCGTGTGTTGTTTCGTTCCTTTGCTTTTGCAAAGTTGTTCACAGCGGTTCATCGCGTTCCCTATTCCCTTGACTCTGTGGGACGCGGCTTCAGAATCGCTGCGGAAGAGTTTGGTGGGGGGAGTGCTTGAGTGACCAGGGTTCCACCCCCAGCGCCGCGAATGGCACCCCACGAATGGCACCCCATGAGTGGCACCCCACGAATCGCACCCTATGAATGGTACCCCACGAATGGCACCCTATGAATGGCACCCCACAAATTGCACCCCACGAATGGCACCCCACAAATCGCACTCCATGAATGGCACCCCACAAATCGCACCCTATGAATGGCACCCCACGAATGGCACCCCACAAATTGCACCCTATGAATGGTACCCCACGAATGGCACCCCACAAATCGCACCCCACAAATCGCACCCTATGAATGGCACCCCACAAATTGCACCCTATGAATGGCACCCCACAAATCGCACTCCATGAATGGCACCCCACAAATCGCACCCCACAAATCGCACCCTATGAATGGCACCCCACAAATTGCACCCCACGAATGGCATCCCACAAATCCCACCCCACAAATCCCACCCCATGAATGGCACCCCACTAATCGCACCCTATGAATGGCACCCCACGAATGGCACCCCTCAGATCGCACCCTACGAATGGTACCCCACGAAGGGCACCCCACAAATCGCACCCTATGAATGGCACCCCACGAATGGCACCCCTCCAGGAGTGATCCCTGAGCGCAGAGCCGGGAGCAAGTCTTGAGCTCCAAAAGAAAAGAGTTGCTCTGTAGGGAGCTGCGGGGCTCTGAGGTACCAAGAGGTGCTCAGAAGGCCCCGGGCACCAGCTGGTTTGGGGCTCTTGTGCTGATGGCAGTGTGCAAACTGCAGGATGGAGTGCTGCTGTGTCTGTCAGAGGTGCCGGGTGCCACAGCGGATGCTCTGGTGCCTCCTGGGCCGTGTCTGGTAGTGTTTGGAGGACCATGGGGTGCCAGGAACGGAACTGGGGAGGGTTCTAAATCCCCAGAAAAAATTGTTTCTGGTGTCCTGGTTTTGCTAGTATGTGTGTGTGTGTGTTTTAATGTAGGAGTGTTGCTATTTATTCAGCCGCTGATCAGGCTGATCGGACTGGGCATGAGCTCCACACTAGGGTGTGTTTTTAAATTACAGAGTAGAAGATGAAGTAAGGGGCTGCAGGGGTGAAGGCCTCGCACGCAACCATCAGTGCTCAAGTTGTGCTCGGTGCCCAAGATTCCCATCCTGAGCACAGAGCCAGGAGTCAGTCCTGAGCACTGCTGGGGGTGGCCCACACCCTCCCAAATCTTAATGATGGTGAAGTAAAGTTGGACGGACTATACTTTGGCTCTATGCGTTGTCTTGGTTTTTTGTTTGGTTGGAGGGGGTAAGGTTTTTGGTTTCATTTTGGTGGGGGGTGTCGGTCCCCATCCTTTCTCCACCTCAGGGATACTTGACCCTGTTGGCTGGTGAGACGCAGCTTGGCTTCAGCCAGTGGTGCTGTCGGTGGTGCCACCAAGGTTGAAGACTGAGTTCAAGGTGCGTGTGCTTGCTCGGCCGCATTTGTCCACTTTGAGGTCTCAGCGGCCTCCTGGGAGTTTGGACAATGGTCTCAAAATCACCGGACTTTTCTGTGGAGAAAGTATCATAAATTTTGAACGATGACGATCACAACCATCCTGTTGTTTGTCGATTGCCTCGAGCAGGCCCCAGTAACATCTCCTTCATCCTGTCCCTGAGATTTTTTTGAAAAGTGCCATACTCAAGGCTCTTCCAGGGTTAGGAGAATGAGACCCATCATTGTTCCTGGTATTTGGCATATTGGGTACGCCACGGGGAGTTTGCCAGACTGCTGTGTGGGCAGGTTACATTCGGTAGCCTGCCAGTTTGTCTTTTTTTTTTTTTTGACGAAATTTTGCACACCTTTTAAATCATGGCCTGTTAAAATTGAAAGTAGTGCATCCTTTAAGCTCTGATGGCTCCTGTCCCTGCTTCCTCTGCTGGCTTTGACCTTCTCCACATGTGTTTCAATATTAGGGCAGTGACTAACTGTGAGTCGTTGGTGAAAGACGTCTACTCCAAGCTGGGGCTCCACTATCGGGACAGTAGTTCTGAGGATGAAGCTTCCAGACCTACGGAAATAATTGAAATTCCCGACGAAGATGATGATGTCCTCAGCATTGATTCGGGTAAGTGAAGAGAACATGAGTAGGAAGGTCTCCGGATTGAAATTGAAGCTGAAGGATAAAGGAGGAAGGACTGGAGCCTGGGAGGGAGGCGGGATTTGGATGGAGGGAAGTTGACCTTGGTGGTGAGATTGGAATTGAAACATTCCTAAAACTCTGTTACAAACATATTTGTAAAATACAGTGCCTAAATGAAGCTTTTTTTTTCTGTAAAGAAGGAGAAACCATTGTTACTTAATCCCTATCCCAAACTCTCAGAAAAAATGAGATTAGCAAAATATATTATATTTTGTGTGCTACTTTGATGGAAGTACCAGTGTTTCTACTTTGCATATAATGCCTGTTCTGAATTACCTTTCTTTCCTTTTGTTCTTTATTTTGGGGGGTTGTGGGGGGAGATTCCTGCTAGTACTCCGGGATTACTCCTGGTGCTATGCTCAGGAATCACAGTCCCGGTGGTGCTCAGGGAACCCAGTGTGGTGCTGAGGCTGGAACCAGGGTTGTCTCCAGTGCACTGACTCTTTGGCCCCTTTTCTTTTCTTTCTTTTTTTTCTGGGGGTGGAGTGGGAAATGTAGGAGACCTCCCAAGCAGTGCTCACGCCCCAGGAGGCTCTCAGTGATACTGGCTAACTGGGCTGGCACTTCAGTCCTAGGGCACAGGGAGATAGTGTTGTTTGGGCCGTGTGATGCTGGGGTATGTCCCTATGTATATAACTATCTCAGTGTGTTCTCTTTGTCTCTCTGTAGCGCTGTCCTCCCGTTTTTCTTCGATTTGCTTGAGCGGGCCCAGTAACATCTCCATTGTGAGACTTGTTGTTACTGTTTTTGACGTATCGAATACGTCACGCGTAGCTTGCCAGGCTTTGCCATGCAGGCGAGATACTCTCAGTAGCTTGCCGGGCCCTCCGAGAGGGGCGGAGGAATCGAACCTGGGTAGGCAAGGCAGACACCCTACCTGCTGGACTATCACTCCAGCCCTGTCTATACGTACTGTAGCACAGCAGCACTGTCCTCCCGTTGTTCATCAATTTGCTCGAGTGGGCCCAGTAACGTCTCCATTGTGAGACTTGTTACTGCCTATTTGTAGCTTTTTAAATTGTAAGGTGGGGGCTGTAGCAATAGCACCACGGGTAAGGCGTTTGCCTTGCACGCAGAAGACCCGGGTTCAATTCCCAGCATCCCATATGGTCCCCTGAGCACCGCCAGGGGTAATTCCTGAGCGCAGAGCCAGGAGCAACCCCTGTGCATCGCCGGGTGTGACCCAAAAAGCAAAAAAAAAAAAAAATTGTAAGGTGAGCATATTAATCCCTGTATTATCTCTCCAGCCCTATTGTACATAGGTTTTGTAGGCACTGTGTTTCAGGACTCTTAGATATTCCTCCAAGAAATGGAATTGCCAGATCTTTTCCTGAATTTAATAAGTTTTTAAGAAACTGCCATTCTGGAGCCATAGAGATAGTACAGTGGGTAGGGTGCTTTCCTTGTTCACGGCTCAATCAGGTTCATTTGCCAGCACTTCATATGGTCCCATGAGCACTGCCAGGAGTGATCCAGAGCCAGGGATAATCCCTGAGTACTGTGTCAGGTTTTCATTCAATTGCCTGGGACGTGCCTTAAGTATAATTCTTTGTTCTCATCCTCGAGCTTCTTTCATTCTCTAGAGTGAATATTTTCATCAGATTTGAATATATTTCTCACTCTTCATTTGTTTTTCTGACCTTGTCTCTCCTCTTGCTTTTGTGGATTCCCACTGGGTATTTTTATTTTCTTGTTCCTGTTTTGGGCTCACCTGGCAGCACTCAGTGGTTACTCCTGGCTTGGTGTTAGGTTACTCATAACAGTGCTCAGGTGATCAGTTGGTGCCAGGGATGGAACCCCAGGTCGGCATATAAGGTTATGTCTGACCCATTAGTTCCCATGATACATATGGTACAATGCTTGGTGTTGTTCTATAAATCTCCTAAGTGCTGTGTTCTTTTTTTTTTTTTAATCTTTTTTTCTTTAAACGTCTGTTTTGAATTGGATAGGTTTTCTGTAAAGAAACTGTTGGGACCACTGCCTGAGATCATGTGCAACCTGTGCCCAGGTGTTGCTACCAAGCGCATGTAGTGCCCAAGCACGTGTGTCACCCGCATCTCCCCTCTTGAGATGCGGACTTTCTTACTAAGGCACGGATGTGGATTTTCATGCGTATCTAATGCTGGGATGTGTCCTGAGGCACCCTCACCATTCTGGTATTTTTTGGGTCGCACCCTGGGCAGTGCTGAGGGGTTACTCCTGGCTCTGCACTCAGGAATTACTCCTCATCCCCCCAACCCCTGTCAGCTGTTGCAAGCCCTACCCTATGTATTATTGCACTGACTCCTCCCTCCCCATTCTGGAGAAACTTATTTTCTCTCTTAACTTTCCTAATCCTGTTTTATGAATATCTGTGTTAAATTTCTTTATTGGGCTCACCTTAATCGGGAGCAAGGAATTCATGTTCACCTTTTTTTTTTTTATCCCCCCTTATAAGTGTCAGGATTTGAACCTAGAGCCTCACACATGCTCTGTCACAGTCGCCACATTTCTGGCCCAAAGTTTGAAAAATCTTTCCAGTTTAATCCTTTTTTTTTTCCCCAAAAAAAGCAAAAAATAAAAAATAAACTATTCATTTTCCAGTACCAGTCACACTGTTATTTCTAGCTTTCCAAATCACCGCTCAAGCCTTCCCTAATCGCAAGCACTTAATAATTTATTTTATATTGCTTGTTATGAAGAATTTGCTAAAAATAATCAAAAAAGGGCCGGGGCGATAGCACAGCAGGTTGGGCGTTTGCCTTGCATGCGGCCAACCTGGGTTTGATCCCTGGCATCCCATATGGCCCCCCAAGCATTGCCAGGAGTAATTCCTGAATGCAGAACCAGGAGTGACCCTTGAGCTTCGCTGGGTGTGACCCAAAAAGCAAAAAATAAAATAAATAAATAAAAATGATCAAAAAGATTAGAATAAAGCGTGTGAAGATTGTTGTATCTCATCCTGGAGCCATTAAGCCCTTGTATAAGAGATCACTACCTATTGTTACAGGTTAAGCTTTGTGTGTTAATATTTTCTCAACCGAGATTGCCTTGTACTTTAAATTCCATCCGATGTGGTGTGCTACTCCTGGAATATCAGTGGAGTAGGTTTTGAATGGGGTGACACAGCTCAAGTTATCTAACTGGATGGTGACTTTGGGGTCTGGAAGCATCTCTGCAGCTTGTTGCTCTCTTTCAAGATTTATTTATGAGTCTCTGGATCATGGCTGGCTTATAACACCAGCAGCATTTCGTGGGCATGACTACCAGGCTCCCAGAAGAACAGGAAGATAGGAGAAGGGAGCCCATCCCCAACCCTGTGAGAGCCTAAAGACTGCAGTCACAAAATGTGTATACCTGAATTTTTTAACAGATTCATTCCTAGATGAGACTTGGGCTGAGGCCATGGAGTCTGGCTGTGAGCATGACAGCGATTAGATTCCGGAGGTTTTCAACTGCCAGGGTTCTGTTTGGGTGGGTGATGGGTTCACCTACCCCCATTCCCTCTGGGCTGCCCCAGATTGGAGATTCAGCCTGGTGAGGAATCTGGAGGCATCTCTGCAGCTTCCAGTTTAATCCTTGTTTTCTGTATATAACTTTGTTCAACTTTCTCTTACCACAGTTATCAGAACTGCCGTAGTTTTGCCTGTTTTTTTTTTCAACTCAACTTGAAATTATGAATCCTGTTTTCATTCTTCATTGTTCAAGAAAATGCTGATGTGTGAAGCCTGTTTAGTTCAGTTGCAACTGCAATCAATATAGCATTCCTTTATAAAAGCATTTCTTTACAGCATTCCTTTATAGCAATCCTTTATAGCATTGCCACAGTTTGCTCCAGTTGGCATTTCATTTGGCTTAAGGATTTTTGGTAACTCTAAATAGTGCTCTAAATATTCTTATGCATTGCATCTAATGCATAAACAAGGATCTTCCCAAGATACATATTGAATATCTAGTCCATCGCAGTGAACTTGCTTTGAGGAAGTTTTCTACAACATGCTGCTCAAGGTGATCCTTGGCTGTCTGGACTGGCTGTTTCATCCTCAGGCCTAAGAATGCAATGTTAGTCATTGGTGCTGGAGACCACCCAGTCCGCCCTGGGGGTGCTGGGAGCCTCCAGGACACACCCATTAGTCCTTGGGGCTGTGTAGTGCTGAGGATCAGACTAGAGTTGTTGTACATGTAAAGCTTATGCTCCTGACCCCTGATCTATCTCCCCTACTTTAGCATCTTTTCATTTATCTGTTGGCCATCTCTTCGTCCTCTCAGGTGACCTGCCTATCTTGTTTCTGTTTTAGTTTGTTGGCAGACTGGGTGGTGGCCCAGTATTGCAGGGCCTTCAGGGGCCCTTCAGCCTTGTAGTACAGGTACGGACCTGACAGTTTCATTGCTTGTCCTGGTAGTGTGGTCTTGTGCTGATGGGGCTTTATGCATGTCTGGCACATCCACTGGCCTCCTCGGCCATCTCCCAGCCTCCTCTCAATATTTCTTTTCTTTTTTTTTTCTTTTTGGGTCACACCTGACGATGCACAGGGGTTACTCCTGGTTCTGTACTCAGTGCTCAGGGGACCATATGGTATGCTGGGAATCGAACCTGGGTTGGCCACGTGCAAGGCAAACGCCCTAACTGCTGTGCTATTGATCAGCCCCCTCCTCTCACCATTTCTTGGTCAGATCCAATTTTTTGTTTGTTTTTGTTTTGGGGTCACACCCGGCGATGCACAGGGGCTACTTCTGGCTCATGCACTCAGGAAATACTCCTAGCGGTGCTTAGGGGAACATATGGAATACTGGGAATTGAACCCGGGTTGGCCGCGTGCAAGGCAAACGCCCTCCCCGCTGTGCTATTGCTCCAGCCCCCAAATTCAATTTTTTTGTGTGTGTTGTATCAGTTATCTTTTTTTTTTTTCAATAGTTAAAACTATTTGGGGCTGGAGCGATAGCACAGCGGTTAGGGCGTTTGCCTTGCATGCAGCCATCATTGGTCAGGCCGACCCTGGTTCAATTCCCAGCATCCCATATGGTCCTCCGAGCACTGCCAGGAGTGATTTCATCGCCAGGTTTGACCCAAAAATTTGAAAAACTTAAAAAAAAAATTTACAAAAAAAAATAGTTAAAACTATTCAAATACCGTGATTTGCAAAATTGCTCATAATACAGTTGTTTCAGGCATTCATTGTTTCAGCAACAATCCCGCCACCAGTGTGACCTCTCCACCATTGTCCCCAGTTTCACCCCCCACACCCCAAGCCTGCCCCCTTAGCAGGCATGAAATAATTTACTTTATATTGCTTGTTGCAACAAAATGATAAGTAGAATTATGAAAAAAATGGTTTAGTAAGAAAATTTTGTGAATGTTATATCACAGTGGTGTTTATTAAAGTCATTATCTGAGGATTTACTGAGCTGTTTGGTGCAAGTTGAATCTTCATAATTGTTTTCACTGGGCTGGAGCAATAGCACAGCGGGTAGAGTGTTCGCCTTACAAGCGGCCAACATGGCCGACCCGGGTTCGATTCCTCCGCCCCTCTCGGAGAGCCCGGCAAGCTACCGAGAGTATTCGATATGCCAGACACAGTAACAACAAAGTCTCCAATGGAGACGTTACTGGGCCCGCTCGAGCAAATCGACGATCAACGGGAGGGCCTTTACCTTTACCTTTACTGAGCTCAGTGGGCTACTTTACTTTGTAGTTTGCTGTGGTCCTGCTGGGCTGTTCATATTGTGCTGGTCTCTAGCACTACATGTTGTTGTCCCCCATTCGACCGGGAGTGATCATTGAACACAGAGGCAGGAGTAAGCACCAGCCCCCACACAAACACATACACCTGCAAAAAAGAGAAGAAATAAGTATATTATGAAAACTCAAGTCCCATAGATTATTATTAACTGTCCCAGTATATTAATTTCTCCATATCAGCTTGACCACCTCTTTTCAGTATATCTTTTTCTTTTTCTCACACTCAGCAGCGTTCAGGGTTTATTCCTGACTCTGAACTTAGGGACCTCCTGGCGAGACTTGGGGGGCCTGGAGGACCATAAGGGATCCAACTTTGGTCAGCCATGTGAAGGTGCACCCTGTCTGCTGTACTGTTGCTCCAGCCCCTCTGCTCTGTTATCTTTCTGAATTCTGTTGGCTCTTTGATATGCATATGTATGTTTAATACTTAGTTTTTTTCATTATTGTCAGTAATACTTCATGATAATGCATATTTCTTAGAAATTACTTGGTTTTTTTATTATATCTTAGAACTTCTTATCACCAAACTTAAAAAGTGCCTGTTAGGATGGCAGGTTGGGGCTGGAGTAGGATTGAGGCATATAGGAGAGGGAACCTCGGATCACTGATGGAGCAACTTTGACATTGGTGGCAGGATTGGTGATGGAACATTATGTGTCAAAACCCAACTGTAAATAACTCCCCGTGCAATATAAAATAAAATTGGGGGGGGGGATATATAAAATTTAAGTTAAAAAAATCTTACATGTACATCTCTTAAGCTCGTGTCTTTCTCACCCATAGGTGATACTGGGAATAGAACTCCAAAAGACCAGAAGGTGAGTTGGGCTGGGTAAGGTAAGGGTGACATATAACTATGAAGATGGGGCTGAGTTTCTCATCTGACTGCCACATTTTTCTCCTCCTGATTTTAGTGGCTCTGCTTGTGGGACAGAGTGAGATTTTCATACTCTGAAAGGGGAGGATTTCTCTGTCCACCTGTATGAAATGACTGAACAGTAAAGGGAAGAAAATAAGGAAATGGGTGCTGGAATTTTTTTTGCATGAAATTCTATCATCAGTTCTATAAACTACATGGTGTACAAAATTAAAACCTTTTCGTGTAGGGGAAGGGGCAGAGCAGAGATGGCGTTTGCCTTGCATGCAGCTGACCCAGGTTTGATCGCCAGCATCCCATATAATCCCTCGAGCACTGCCAGGAGTAATTCCTGAGTGCAGAGCCAGGAGTCACCCGGAGCAACACCGGGTTGTTGTAAATACAAAAAGAAAAAAAAAAATAGGGCGGGGGCCACACCTGGCGATGCTCAGGGTTTAGTCCTGGCTTTGCTCAGAAATTCATGGGACCATATGTGGCACTGGGAATGGAACCCAGGTCAGCTGTGTGCAAGGCAAACTTTCTACGAGCTGTACTGTCTGGGCTCTAAAATAAAAATTGTTTAATGTGAAAATGGGATGTGGAGATAACCACAGTAGTACAGCATATGTCTTGCATTTCTTTTTCTCTTCAGGTGGGTAGGGATCATTCCTGGTGGGCTCAGGGGATCATATGGGGTGCCTGGATCAAGCCTGAGTCAGCCATGTACAGGGCAAGTGCCCTACCCACCATACTATGACTTCAGCCCCTGTTTAGCGTGTCTTCATCCTGAATTCAGTCATCATTGCCGCGTGGCTGAGTGTGGTTTTAGGGGGGACATACTCTGCAGTTATCAGGACTTATTCTTGGCTCTGTGCTCAGGTCAACTCCTAGCGGGCTCAGAGAACTGTATAGGGTGCTTGGGACTGAATCTGGGTCAGCCTTGTGCAAGGCAAGCACCCTATCCACTGTACTAGTGCTCTGGGCCCCATTTTTTGTCTGTTTGGTTCTGCTTTTTGGCTTTCTTGAGTGTTGCCAGGTCCCCACACATTGCTGAGTATGGCCTCTAAAATATAAAAAAGGGGAAATTGTGCCATCCTCATTTTTTCAGCCATTAACATAGAATCAGTCTGTAGATTGCAGTATCTTCTATCTGTTACAAAAAAATATAAAATAGCTCACTCTGGAGTCTGAACCATAGTACAGCTGCTAGGGTGTTTGCCTTGCATGCAGCTGACCCAGATTTGATCCCAGAATCCCATATGGTCCCCCAAGCACCACCAGGAGTTACTCCTGCATGCAGCACCAGGAATAACTCCTGAGCATCACTGGTTGTGGCCCAAAAACAAGAGAATTTTGCTAGTAATTTTTAGGGAACATTATTTATTCACAGCAGTGGAGACTTTCTTGCCTTTTCCAGCCACCAAAGCAATGTAACACAGCCACCCAAAAAAAAAACACCAAAATCTCATCACTAAAATAGTCCACTTAAGTGGCTGGAGAAATAGCACAGCAGGTAGGGCATTTGCCTTGCACGCGGCTGACCCAGGTTCGATTCCCAGCATCACATATGGTCCCCTGAGGACCACCAGGAGTAACTCCTGAGTGCAGAGCCAGGAGCAACCCCCAGCCAGGTTAGGATTAGGAGCTCCTGAGGTGTAAGGGACAGTGCAAGCGTGTGAATTTTGACAGAGATTTCATGGATAACCAGCTTCATCTAACATCTCAAATCCTGTGCATCGCCGGGTGTGACCCAAAAAGCAAAAAAAAAAAAAAAAAAAAAAATTAAAAATAAAATAGTCCACTTAAAAATTTCTGTACTTTGGGCCAGAGTAAAACAAGGAAGGCATTTTCCCTTGCCCACAGCGGACCTGGGTTCAATCCCCAACATACCGTATGATCTCCTGAACACTGCCATGAGTAATTCTTGAGTGCAGAGCCAGGAGTAACCCATGAGCATTGCCAGGTGTGACCCAGAAAGAAAGGGGGTGGGAAAGAGGCAAAAGGGAGGGAAATTTCTGTACCAAGTACAGTGTAAATGTCTAATTTGGCAATGACCTTCTAGGTGAGATTAATCAAGAGAAGCTTTCTAGCTAGAAAGACCTTGCCTCCCCACCCCCACCTACTTCCTTTTTGGTTTTAGGCCATACCCAACAGTGCTTGGGTGTTGCAGTGCCAGGGATCATGCATGCAAAGCACATGCTGCATCCACTGTCTCCCCAGCCCTAACATTTTTTGTTTGGGGGTCACATCTGCATGCTCTGTTCAGGGATCGCTCCTAACAGTATTCGGGGGAACATAAGCAGAGATCAAACCGTGGTGCCTTAACCGCTGTACTGCCTTTCTGACTCAACATGTTTCTCACAAGTTATTCCTAACCCTTGCTGCTACTTTAAAATTTGTCTCTGATGCCAGAGAGATAGCTCAAAGATAATGCATGCTGGACATGCAGGGAGAGGCAAGGTGTGGGTTCAGTTCCCCGCACAGCATGGTTCCCTGAGCACCGCCAGAAGCGCCACATGAGCACTGCCAGCTTCGGCCTATAAACAAAAGTGTCTCCCTTATTTCCTTCCTTACAGCTCCGTGAAGCTATGGCTGCCTTGAGAAAGTCAGCTCAAGATGTCCAGAAATTCATGGATGCAGTTAACAAGAAGAGTAGTTCCCAGGATCTACATAAAGGTTAGGATTAGGAGCTCCTGAGGTGTAAGGGACAGTGCAAGCGTGTGAATTTTGACAGAGATTTCATGGATAACCAGCTTCATCTAACATCTCAAATCCTTCTCCAGCTCCGTTGGATTATTTTAATACTACAAGTTGAGCAAGTCAGATAAGGTTTTTTGTATTTTGTTTTCCTCGTTCACCGCTTAACACTTATCTGCTAATTGAGATATACCAGATTCATTGGTGTTAGTATACTCTATTACCCCAGTTATACTGATGCCAGGTTTTGAATCTTATTTTACCCAGATTCTTTAGTTTACACTCACTTCTTCAAATAGAGAGTAGGGAGAAGAAAGTTTACAGTGTCAGAGACACTTATTTGTAGGATGAGACTATTAATAGAAGCCCTACGGGGGGGAAAGTTTTATAAACGTATATGTTAATAAGGAAATTGAGAAAGTTTGGGTGTAGTGAGATATACTCGAATCATATGTGAACATCAGTTATCCAAGTTTTCCTATTAACATAGACAGTTGAGTCAGCTGGGTCTTGTCCTGCTCTTGGCCAAGAGAGCAGCAGAAGTGGCTAAGATGACCCCCATGACCCCAGTTCCTCTGATTCCTCTGCTGCCCTCCTGTTTCCTGTTCTTTGTCTAGTGTCTGCCATTTCTCTCCAGAGCACCTCTCCTTTCCTCCCTAGGAACCTTGAGTCAGATGTCTGGAGAACTAAGCAAAGATGGTGACCTGGTAGTCAGCATGCGCATTCTGGGCAAGAAGAGAACCAAGACCTGGCACAAAGGCACCCTTATTGCAATCCAGACGGTTGGTATGTTGAAGCTGGAGGAAGGACTAATGAGAGGCCACCTGCAGGCCTCCAGTGATGATTGTATTATTCCCTACCCCACACATGTGTGTTCTCTCTCTCACTCGCTCTCTCTCTCTCCCCCCCTCCTCTACCCCCCAAAAACTTCTTTCCATTCTCAAAGAAGCTTTAATTCATACAGAAATTCGTGGTTTTTAGAAAAGTTCTGTTTTCCCTTTTACTCAGGGCCAGGAAGGAAATACAAGGTGAAATTTGACAACAAAGGAAAAAGTCTACTCTCGGGGAACCATATTGCCTATGATTACCACCCACCTGCTGACAAGCTCTATGTGGGCAGTCGAGTGGTAGCCAAATACAAAGATGGAAATCAGGTCTGGCTCTACGCTGGCATTGTAGCTGAGACACCAAACGTCAAAAACAAGCTCAGGTACTGGAAAGAAAGTGAACGTCGGGGGCACAGGCACCTGTGCTGTTCGGGCCATCATCCAGATCTCTCAATTAGCGTTTGTGTTCTTAGTCCTCACAGGCAGAAATCCTTGCTTTTTCTTTGCCGTAGAGTCACGTGACTCCTGTCTCTCCTCCCACCTACCCCCCCACCCTGGCTCCCCCTTTTTTCCATTTAAGGAGAAAAGAAGGTGGAAGTAGTCAGGTCTGATTCATTAAGGGAATGGGGACATCCTGAAAGAGAGGAATGAAGTGGAGAGTAAACGGGTTCAGCAGAGCAGGAATCTGGTAGAACAGATTAAATTTTGGGAAAAGTGGGGCTATGAGGCAGGAGAGATAAGACAGTGGTAGGGCACTTGCCTTGCACACTGTCCACATATGATCGCTCAACCCTACCAGGTGTCTGGTGCAGGGCCAGGAGTAAGCCCTAAGCACAGAGGGTATGGCCCAAAAACAGAAAAAGAGAAAGTGGGGATATGATTAAGGAAATTTTTTTTTTAAGTCCTAGCATGGGGTGGTGGTGAGGAGTAAGAACGTGGTAGGGTAGAACTATCTTCCCTAGAGTTTGTCCTTTTGTACTCTTGAGGAGTTGAGGCGCTGCTGAGGTTCCTATAGGTCCTGTTAAATACCATGAGCCCTGATCGACCCCGCTCTTTCCTGGCAGGTTTCTCATTTTCTTCGATGATGGCTATGCTTCCTATGTCACACAGTCCGAACTGTATCCCATTTGCCGGCCACGTGAGTGTACCTTCTTTCTTCTCTTGCTGTATTCCTTGCCTTCTCTACTTCGTGTTTTTCTTCTTCAGACCACTGTTTGGAAAGCCATATGGCTTGGTGTGTGCCAGTCACAGAAAGCTTAAATGTGACTGATGTCCTCTGGAAGAAAGTTTCTTTGCTCCTGCTTAGTGCCGGGTCTTTGCAGGCAGAGTGAGATACTGGGAGTTGGTGAACAAACAGCTTTGAGTACTCTTAATATTGTAGGTGTATTTTGGTTTCATTCTTAAATGATGTAGGTCTGTGAAGCTGTTTCTTCTTTCCTAGTCTCATCTAACATTTATATAAATCTAATCTGAGCATTGCTTTTTTCATAGAAGCCGCATTAGACAGGTTTGTAGTGACTTCTGTGATTGAAGTTCCGGCATTTTTTGGGTGCTAGGGATCAAACCCAGGGCTAGATATGTTTGAGGTATGCAGTCCACCACTACCACTGAACTCCATCCCCTACCACAGCAGCAACTGTTCTGAATTGTGAAAAGGCCAACAAACATGGCTTTGTTTTACAGAATATGGCAGAAGTACATAATGTATTATACTACTGCCATATGTAGCAAGAGAGGACTTTCACTGCTCCAGAGAGCCCATGTGCTCTCTGAATACATTTTTCTCCCCTCACACTTTTCTTGAATAAATTTCTGTGAATATGACTGTTTTACTTTATAAAAACCTGATAGAGAAGGATTTTTTTATTTGTTTTTATCAAAACATGCCTTTGGGTGCTAGAGAGATAATACAGTGAGTGGGTCCAACTGTTGCTCTGTGCAGTTGGTCAGTTTGGATTTGGTTATTGTCTCCTCAGGGCTCACTCCTGGTGGGGCTCGGGGACCATCTAGGATGCTGAGATTGAACCCGGGTTGGCTGCATGCAAGCCAAGCACCTTACCTGCAGTACTCTCACTGGCCCAGCCAACCACAGTTTGATCCCCAGTACTTCATATGGTCCCAGAGCACCACCAGGAGTGAGTTCTGAGTACTGCCAAGTGTGACCCCAAAATAAGACATTAAGACATCTTGGGTTCAATTCTTGGCACCCCTGGAGGGAGGTAAGAGAGCACATACTCCTTAACCTACTTGTCTGACCTGTTTAAACTCGTATTCCTTGGGACAGTGAAAAAAACTTGGGAGGACATAGAAGACATCTCGTGCCGAGACTTCATTGAGGAGTATATCACTGCCTACCCCAATCGGCCCATGGTGCTGCTCAAGAGTGGCCAGCTCATCAAGACCGAGTGGGAGGGCACCTGGTGGAAGTCCCGGGTGGAGGAGGTGGACGGCAGCCTCGTAAGAATCCTCTTCCTGGTATGTACATGCTTCCGGCAACATTGGAGCAGGGCGGGTTGGGACAGCGAGCAGCAGCAGCAAGGACACAAGTTTGTAGCGACCTCGTGGTGTCTGTCTTTTGGCCAGAGAGATAGTACAGCCAGTAAGGCACTTGCCTTGCACGCAGCCAACCCCAGGTTCAATCCTCAGCATCCCATATGATTCCCTGAGCCCACCAGGAGTGAACCCTGAGCATAGAGCCAGGAGTAGTCCTGAGCATTGCCAGGTATAACCTAAAAACATCAGCAAAATATAAAAATATTTTTTATCTGAAAGTGGAGAAGTATTTGGTTGGTTTTTGTTCAGGCAGGGATTTTTTTGGTTTTAGGGACACACCTGGTAGTGCTCAGGGATTACTCCTGGCTCTGCAATTAGGAATCTCTCCTGGTGATGCTCAGGGGACCAAATGTGGTACCAGGGAGGGAACTCGTGTTCACCACACGCAAGGTAAATGCCCTCCCTGCTGTACTATTTGTTCCGGCCCTCTCTTTGTTTTTGTTCCGGTTTCTGGGCCACACCCATCTGTGCCTGGCACTGACTGTGCATAAGGATCACTCCTGGTGGGCTTGATCACCCTGTCAGATGCTGTACTATTCTCCAGCGCTCTTGTTTATTTGGTTTGGAAACCATATATTGGGGTTGCGCAAAGACTTCCTGGCTGTGCTCAGGAGTGATCCTTGACAGTGCTCAGGGAAGCATCTGCAGAGCAGATTGACTGACCAGGTCAGCCACATGCACAGGCAGCCAGCACCTTCCCTACAGCCAGGACCAAGACTATCTTACAGAAAGAACCAGAGGGTGGGCTGGACAGAGCACAGAGGGAGGGCACCTGACTTGCATGCCACCAGCCCAAGTTCAATCCCCAGCGCCCTATCAGGTCCCCTGAGCACCGCCTATAGTGATTCCTGAGTGTAGAGCTAGGAGTAACCCTTGAGCGTAGCCCAGTCTGGCCCAAAATTCAAAAGAACGGAACCCCAGGGTAACAACACAGCCTTAGAAAAGTTGGATGTGGACAATTGGAGAATCTGGAAGCCCAGAATGTTCTCTGCATTTCTCCTCTTTGGTTTCCTTGGGTAGGTTAGTTTGACTAGTTGGCCCACAGGAACATTAGAACGTGGCTTCCAAGCTCTTAAAATTCCAGCCCATAGACAGCGCTACACTTGCTCAGGAAGGAAGGAGGAAACACAAGCTTGGCCCAGTTGAGGCAGGAACTGACTCCCTGTTGATTTGGGATTTGGTTTGGTTTGGGTTTTCAGACCACACCTGGCTGTTCTCAGTACTTACTTCTGGTGGGCTCAGGGGGTATGTGTGGTGCCAAGGATCAAAACAGGTCTGACCGTGTGCAAGGCAAATGCTTTACCCTCTCTTCTGTGGCTCCAAGCCCCTGAGTCCCTGTTGAACCAACTGTGTCTTATAAAGTAAAGGCCCTCCCGTTGTTCGTCGATTTGCTCAAGCGGGCCCAGTAACGTCTCCATTGGAGACTTTGTTGTTACTGTGTCTGGCATATCGAATACGTCACGGGGAGCTTGCCAGGCTCTGCCGTGCGGGCGAGATACTCTCGGTAGCTTGCCGGGCTCTCCGAGAGGGGCGGAGGAATCAAACTCGGGTCGGCCATGTTGGCTGCGTGCAAGGCAAACGCCCTACCGCTGTGCTATCGCTCCAGCCCTAGGGAGTGATATATAGGGAAGAGTCATATATAAAGTGGTGTCATTACTTTTACATATGTGGATCTCATAGCTTCCTTCTGTTTTCATGATTTTGTCAGATTTTACTTTTTTTTTCTTAATTTCTCTGTAAATGATTGTTGACAATAAATTCCCCAAAATGAATTATGACATGAATCTATATTGTTAGTTTTTCTGCAGTTTATTCATGTTGTATGTCAGTGTAGAGAAGATGGCCAGTTTCTCATCTCACCAGGGAGAGCTAGCATTTTGGTAGCATGATGAGACAAGAAGAAGGATCAGGAATCAGGGTTTCCTCTTTTTTTTTTTTTTCTTTTTGGGTCACACCTGGCAATGCACAGGGTTACTCCTGTCTTTGCACTCAGGAATTACTCCTTGCGGTGTTCAGAGGACCATATGGGGTGCTGGGAATCGAACCCGGGTCGGCCGCATGCAAGGCAAATGCCCTACCCACTGTACTATCACTCCAGCCTCGGGTATCCTGATTTTTCAAGGAGGAAAATGAGCTTTTTCTTTAAAAAAAAAAAAAAGTGTTTTTTTTAAAAGCTACTTCTTAGCTTTTACAAATCTTTGTACCTCCCCTTTTTGCATTTCCACCCTTTCTTTGGTTTTGGGGACCACACCTGATGGTGCTCAGGGCTTACTCCTGACCTGTGCTAAGGGATCATTCCTGGCAGGCTTGGGGAACCACATGGGGTTCTGGGGATTGAACCCAGATTTGCCACATGGAAGGCTGCCCGCTGCACTAGCTCTCTGCCCTCTTCTTCATATCCCCCCTTAGAATTGCATTTCTTCTCTGACGTTTTCCTATATCCGAGATCCTCGTCAAAGTTCTTAGACTTAGTAGGTGTTTTGCGGGGGAACTGGTGGGTGGGCCTTTTTATTTGATCTTGGGCTACACCTAGCAATACTTAGAGTTAACCCCTGGTGGGAATTGGGGGGTTGGGGGGCCATCTGGGGTGCCAGGAATCCAATACATGCAAGGCAAGCACCCACCCATGCTCACTCTGGCTCATTAATTTTTTTTTTTTTCATTTTCAACTATGGCTCATTTTAAGTTTTTGTCTTCTATAATTTCCTTTCTGGGAGAGATGGGGGGAAGATTGGGCCACACTTGGCAGTGGTAAGGTGTAACCCATAGCAACGCACAGGACCATACGCAGTGCCAGGGATTGAACGAGGGTTCGTTGGCCTTAATCTCCTGTCCTATCCCACCCTCGTTTCTAAAATAAGTACCTATTTCTCTTCTTGATATTCAAATGTAAATTTATTATGTAGGAAGGGAATTTGGGAATCATCTTGGAGATTTCCCTCGAGGTGTTGGATTGTGTAGTCCCTTGTGCAGAGGGAGAGGTCCTGGTATCCAACCCAGTTTCTCCCAACCTGTCCTTTCTCCTGATGCCTCAGGATGACAAAAGGTGTGAATGGATCTATCGAGGTTCCACGCGTCTGGAACCCATGTTCAGCATGAAGACATCCTCGGCCTCTGCACTGGAGAAGAAACAAGGGGGACAACTGAGGACACGTCCAAATATGGGTATGTCCTGGAGAGGAAAGCAGTGGGCAATCCAGCAGGGTGTATGGACAGTGATGGCCTTTGTTTGCCAGGGTGACGCTGCAGGTTCATGGCAACAGCTCCATGTACCTGGGGTTATTGCCAGTGGTATTAATGGTTTTGTGGTGCCACCTCCCATGCTGTGACTCTGATTACTTTTAAATAGCCAATAAAAATCTGGAGCTAGGATCTGGAGATAGCTCAAAAGGACTGGAGTGTTTGCAGGAGCCCCAGCTTTGTTCCAGGCACTGTAAGGTCCCTTCAGCACCACTTGTTTACCACTGAGCACTACAAAAACAAAATCTGAAACTCTCCTGCACTGAGTGCATTGGTCATATGCCTTACCTTTTCTCTAAATGAGGCTTGTGAGCTTTCTGTGTAACCTGGTTTTTTTTTTTTTAATCTAAACCATTTTTTGTTGTTGACAACTTTGTAAATCAGTGCCTAAAATTAAAAGAAAAATATATGGATTAGAGAGGTCGTTGAATTGGCCTGGAGGTTTGTGGGAGATCTAGGTATGACACCAGCAGCACTTCATAGTCCACCAGAACGTACCCCTGAGTAGTGCTAGGTGTAATCCCCCTACCCCCATTAAAAGGAAAAGACTAAAGCATTGGGGTGGGGGGCACAGCCCAAACCCAGGTATCCCCAGGCCATACCTGGTGGTTCTCAGGGCTGCATCATTACGGTAGTGGGATTTGAACCATCCCCACAGCCTCGTAATCAGATGAGACGAGGGCTATGACGTCCCCTTCAACCCCTTCTGTTTCTACATGTTTCTGACATGCTTTCAGATGATAGTGGGTCACCAAAGAATGAATCTTTGAAAGTTCTCAACAAAGTGAAACATTTACGAAGCCATCTTAGCTTCAGTATTGAAGTCAGAGTCAACGCATATCAGGATTCCCACTCAGTGGTATAAGTCATGGAACTGATAGTTTTGGCACTCGGTGTTTCCATTGCGGATTTTGTGTGAGTTTAAGTAGAGCATCAGGCATGTGTGTGAAGACTAGCTGTCATCTCAGTGGTGAATTTTGTTTTTTCTCTAGGTGCTGTGAGGAGCAAAGGCCCTGTAGTACAGTACACCCAGGATCTGGCCAGTACTGGGGCTCAGTTCAAGCCAGTGGAAACCCCACAGCCTCCAGCTCATCCTGCCCCAGCAGCAACCCCAGCCCTCCCCACACCACCTGCCCCATCTCCTCCATCACAGTCCCCCCAGGCAGGTGAAAATGAGTGAGTGTTCGTACTTCTTTCTTACTTATTTTTTTTTTATGGTATCTGCTTTTTTTTTTTTTAACCCCTCACTGTATCTAATCTTCTAGAAGCTTGGAAAGCCAACTTGCCCAGTCACGGAAGCAGGTAGCGAAAAAGAGCACATCATTCCGGCCAGGATCTGTGGGCTCCGGTCATTCCTCCCCTCCATCCCCTGCACTCAGTGAAAATATCCCTGGTGGGAAGCCTGGGATCAATCAGACATATAGGTGAGAAAATAAGCCAGTTCCCTGGGAGAACTTGATGCTGCAGACCTAGTGGTCATTGCATTAAGGAGGTTCTTAGGCTCCAGGAGATTCAAGGTTATGATAGTGAGGCAGTTAGACTGAAAAAGAAAGCTCTAGCAGCCAGAGCGATAGTACAGAGACTAAGGTGCTAGCCTTGTATACAGCTAACCTGGGTTCAATCCCCAACATCCCATATGATCCCCCAAGCACTGCCAGGAGTGACCCCTGAGCGTCACCAGGATTGACCACCTCCCACCCCACCCAACCCCCCAAAAAAGAGCTTGATCTGTGAGCTTCTAAGAAACATAGCATAAAAATAATTTTTTTCCGACCGTGCCTAGCAGTGCTCCTGGCTGTGCTTGTAGGATCCTATGGGATGCCAGGCATGTGGAAGGCAAGTGCCCTACCCACTGAACTATCTCTCGGGCCCCCAAAATATTTTAATTTGAAGTTTGATGTCTAGAAATATGTAGCCATCAGAACATCATTTGTCAAAACTTAACATTCAGGGGCCAGAGGTATATATTGTACATCAGGTAGGACATTTTTCTTGCACACAGCTGACCTGAGTTCAATCCCCAGCATCCCATATGGTCTCCCATGCACTGCCAGGTAATTCCTGAGAGCAGAGCCAGGAGTATCTCCTGAGCATCACCAGATGTGACCCAAAAAAGAAAAAAGAAAAAAGAAAAAAAATAGCATTTGTGCACTAGGGATATAACTCAGTGGTAGAGCATTTGCCTTGCATGTGTGAGTCTTAGTGTTCAATTCCTCGCACCACAAATGCAAAACCAAAAAAAAAGAAAATCTTAGATTGAAGAGGAGATAGTTCAGTGGACTGGAGAACCTGCTGCGCATACAGGAGACTCATGTTTTTTGTTTGTTTTTTTTTTTTACTTTCGTTTTATTATTAAATATCTTAGGAATTGAACTTGTTTCTAAGAGAAACAAAAGCTAATTAAGACTGCAAATTAAGAAGGAATGAAGGGTCCTTAAGTTGACATAACATTGACTGCACTGATTCTTTCTTGTTGTTGTTGTTGTTTTGGGTTTTTTATTTTTATTTTATTTTTATTAGTGAAACACCATGAGGTACAGTTGTAGACTTACAAATTTTTGTGCTTGGGTTTCAATTATACAATGATCAAATACCCATCCCTCTACCAGTGCCCATTTCCCACCACCATGGATCTCAGTATCCCTCCCACCCCATCCCCCCATCCCACGCTGCCTCTGTGGCAGGGCATTCCCTTTTGTTCTCTCTCTCCTTTTGGGTGTTGTGGAGGAGACATGTTTGTTCCCTTGTACCACTTGGTTCCCTGAACGTTGCCCTGTGTGAACGCTGAAAAAAAAACAACTTGGCCTTAAATGTGGTATCATCATCGGTACATTAGAAAGGAGACACTGTAGCTTCTTATCAGGGAATTTAGTAAATGCATTTATAAAACACATCAAAGAATAAAAAGTACTGGTAGAAGACTGGACTCCTTTAATTCATAGGCAGAACTTTTTTTTCTTTCTTGATTTTGGGCCACACCTGGCAATACTGAGGGGTGGCTCTGTGCTCCTAGTGTCACTCCTAGTGGTGCTCAGAAGACCATATAGGGTGCTGGGTCAGCTGCATGCAAGGCAGATGCCCTTCCCCCCTACCTAGACCTATACTGTCGCTCTAGCCCCAATAAAAAAATTTGAAGAAACTTGAAATTTTATCTGTCCGTGATAATAGCCGCGGCATTTCTGTCAAGGTTTGGTAAGGCAAGGGAAGATTTGTTGCGTTTAGCTTCAAGATCACAGCTATTTGAGCAGTCAGAGAAGTGACTTCACGGATGTTTAGAACAGAAACCCTGTTGTTTTCATATCTGAACTCTTGCCTCTTACTTGCAGGTCACCTATAGGCACGACTGCTACCCCAGTACCTCCAGTGCCTCTAGTATCTCTAGCACCTCCGGCACCTACCACATCTCCAGCACCTCCAGCACCTGGAGGCCCCCCAGGGCTCCCTGCACCCCCAGCCTTCCATGGTATGCTGGAACGGGCACCATCAGAGCCCTCCTACCGTGCCCCCATGGAGAAGCTTTTCTACTTACCTCATGTTTGCAGTTACACTTGTCTGTCTCGAATCAGACCTATGAGAAGTGAGCAGTACCGAGGGAAGAACCCCCTCCTAGTCCCGCTGCTGTATGACTTCCGGCGGATGACAGCCCGCCGCCGAGTGAACCGCAAAATGGGCTTTCATGTCATCTACAAGACCCCGTGTGGTCTCTGCCTCCGGACAATGCAGGAGATCGAGCGCTACCTTTTTGAGACAGGCTGTGACTTTCTCTTCTTGGAGATGTTTTGTCTGGATCCCTATGTTCTCGTGGACCGGAAGTTTCAGCCCTATAAACCTTTTTACTATATTCTGGACATTACTTATGGGAAAGAAGATGTTCCTCTATCCTGTGTCAATGAGATTGACACAACCCCCCCGCCCCAAGTGGCCTACAGCAAGGAGCGAATCCCTGGCAAGGGCGTTTTCATTAATACCGGCCCCGAGTTTCTGGTTGGCTGTGACTGCAAAGATGGGTGCCGGGACAAGTGAGTTGGGGAATTGCTTCCTCTGCCTCCAGCTACTAGGGTTTGCCCTTCCTGTCATTCACCTCATAGCTGTACTCCTTTCCCCCTGTCCCTTCCAACTCCTTCCTCAGCTACACCTCGCTCTTAGGCTTTGAGGTGGAGATGCTGGGATCTGGTTCACCTCCATTGTTTCCTCTCATTCTCATTTCCCTTGGCTGCCATCTAGCATGCTTCCGGTTGCCACTTGGTTTAATTTTGTCTCATCTCTTTCTCACTATCATATTCTTAACTTTGTCTTTTCAGTTTGTGACATATGAAAATTTCAGTTTTAAAACAGAAGGCAATTTCCCATCTTTAACTCTTTCTTCCTCGTCTCACAGGTCCAAGTGTGCCTGCCACCAGTTAACTATTCAGGCTACCGCGTGCACACCAGGGGGCCAAGTCAACCCCAACTCTGGTTACCAGTATAAGAGACTGGAAGAGTGTCTGCCGACAGGGTAAGTCCTGGGAAAAGTTGAACATCTCAAAGACTGAAGAGTACTCTCTTGTGTTCCTGTACTTGTGGGAGAAACTGAACCAAAAAGAGAGTGAACAAATACAATCACAGTAGTAGTTTAAATCCTATTTGCTAAATTTCCAGCACATATTTCTTGCCAACTTTCCTGAAATAAAGACATAGAGGGGCTAGAGCAATAACACAGCAGGTAGGGTGTTTGCCTTCCACACGACCAACCCCGGTTCGATTCCCAGCATCCCATATGGTTCCCTGAGCACTGCCAGGAGTGGTTCCTGAGTGCAAAGCCAGTAGTAACCCCTGAGTATCACCAGGTGTTACCCAAAAAGAGGAGAAAAAAAAAGACATAGAATGATAGGTCTAGCAGATTTCTATAATAGTGAGATACATGTGAGCCAGAGATGGTATAAGGATTTGGCCGGCAAGTTGTTTAAGCACAAACCTGGTTCAAATTTTGGCACCACATACAATTCTCCAGGTACCACTGTGGGCGGCCCCTGAACACAGACCCAGGAATAGCCCTGAGGACAGTCACCAGATGTAGTCCCCAACCAAAGTTACCTTGATCTCATAGCTGTATGAATGTCTGTCATAAAAGGTCAGTAGTTTACTCTGGCAAATGAGATCTGTACAGAGAAGTGGGCAGAGCTTTGTAAGTGAAAATAGGAACTATAATCAAATACATGGTGTGTTAAGTTGTTAGAGATTTTTAAGTGAATAATGTGATCTGACTTTTGAAGGTTGCTTCCGTCAGTGCTTAAGGCAGCAAAAGTAGAATTTGGAAGACTTAAGTACTGAAATACAGGTGAGAGTTGGTGGTTGCTGGGACTTGTATTAGAGTGGAGGAGGCATTAGACAGGGAAGATTGATTTGAGGGACTGGAGAGATAGCACAGCAGGTACGAGTTTGCCTTGCACACGGCCAACCCGGGTTTGATTCTCAACACCCCATGTGGTGGGATGATTCTCAGCATCCCCAAACACTGCCAGGAGTGATTCCTGAATGCATGAGCCAAGAGTAACCCCTGTGCATCTCTGGGTGTGACCCAAAAAGAAAAAAAAGAAAGATTGATTTGAGGTGTATTTGGAGGTACAGCTACAGAACCGGATAGATTGTGAAATGGAAGAAGAGTCAGGTACGCTTGTTGAATGCCCTGTTTTTGACTAAGTCGATATTAGTCTTTTTACTGAGTTAGAGTGTTTACAATCTAAGGAAAGTGCAGCTTCTTATGGGGGCATGTTAAGTTCCAGATGCCTATTAGACAGCCTGAATGGGAATGTCAGGAGGACACAGAATCAATCACCAGCAGTGCAGAAGTGGTCACTAGAGCCTGAGGGAGTTCACCTAGAGAAATGTTGATAGTAGATAGAGAAGGGACCCTATAAATTCAGGGCCCCCAAAGTTAGAGATGGTGGTGGAGCCAGCTGGGAAGACTGAGGATTTGTCAAGAGAAAGAAGCCAGGGAAGTGGCAGGGACTAAAGAGAACAGTGAAAGGACGGTCATAGCATGTCTTTGTTAGATGTGAATCTCTTGAACTTGAGCCCAGTGCCCAAGATACAGAATTGTGGGTCCAGAGAAATAGGACAGTGGGGAGGGGCTAGCCTTGCACACAGCCAACCCGGGTTGGATTCCAGCATCATATCGATCCCTGAACACTGCCAGGAGTAAATTCTGACTCTGTCAGGAGTGACCCGCACACTGCCCATTGTGGCCCCAAACCCAAAAGATAAAATACATAATTGACAGTAAATGGAGGAAGAGAGGAAAAAAGCACCAATGACATTCAGAAATTTCCCATCACCAAAGTAACTGGGTTTCCAAATTGAAAGGGCTACTAAGGTCCCAGCTTTATGATGAAAACAGGCCCCTGCTGAGACACTTGGCAAAGTGATCACGTGTTCATGCAAGGGAAAACACCTAAAAGCTGCTTTGTTTTGATTTTGGACCACACCCAGTAGTACTCAGGGCTCATTTTTATCTGCACTTGGGTCACTTCTGACAGTGCTCTCGGGACCATAGAAAGTGCCAGAGATGGAACCCAGGTCAACTACATGCAAGAGAGACATCTTGACTCTTGTCCTCTCTCTCTACACCCCTCGCTCCCCCAAGACTCTTTTTTTTTTTTTCCTTTTGCTTTTTGGGTCACAACTGGCAATGCACAGGAGTTACTCCTGGCTCTGCACTCAGGAGTACTGGCGGAGCTCAGGGGACCATATGGGATGCTGGGAATCGAACCCGATCGGCCTCGTGCAAGGCAAACGCCCTACCCGCTGTGCTATCTCTCCGGCCCCTCCCCCAAGATTCTTAACAGAAGAAAAGAAGAAAGTAACTTCAGGGACTGGAGAGAAAGTACAGTGGGGAGGACTCCAGCCTTGCACGCAGCATGTCCAAGTTCAGTCCTCAGCACCCTGTATGGTCCCTAGAGCCGCTCCTCCAGTGGTGATTCCCGAGTGAATTCCAGAGCCAGGAGTAAACCCTAAGCACCACCAGGTGTAGTCCCAAAAGAAAATTACTTCGGCCTTCTGAAAATGATCTTAGGTGGCAATTGAGAGGTCTATTCAGAATTCCAGGGAAGATTATTTCTTTTCGTTTGTTTTGGGGTGATACTGAACAGTGCTCAGGAGCTTCTCCAGGTTATGTTCCCAGAGGTCACTTCTGTGATGCTCAGAGATAAGACTCAAAGCATGTGAGCAAGTACCTAGCCCTCTGAGCCACCTCTCTGACCAGTAAGAACTTACTTCTAACTAGAGTTTTAGTTCAAGCTGTCACTTAAGCGTTAAGTGATAAAATTAATATTTTTGACACGAAATGCCTTGGTTTCCTATTATTTTCCCTTCTCTGTACATTACTGGAAATGTTTACCAAAATAAAGGCCGGATAGTGTGCAGACAGGAACCCTAGCAATGATAACGCAGTGCTGTGCTGGGGGCCTCTGGCTGAGCAGTGAGAGCAGGCAGTGTGACGGCAGGTCCTCTGGCCCCCAGCAAAGCTCCAGAGGTGTCTCCATCTTTTCAGAAGAGATTGAAACTTTTGGGGGACTCGGAGTTTGGTACTGATGCACATAGAAAACTGAGGAAAGGCCCTAAAGAGACAACAGATCGAGCACATGCTTTGCAAACCAGAGGTCTCCCTTTGATCCCCAGAACCCAGCAAGCACCCCTCTCCCCAACACAGACAGAGGTGGTAGAGAAACAGAAAAAGAAGTGAGGTCAGGAATGGAGCTCTAGAGTAGAGCACTTGCCTTGCACATGTGAGGCCCCAAGTTTGACATCCAGCAGTGCATGAGCATGCCTTCCCCCACACAGGCGAGAGGTACTTGAGCACGTGAGTGGGGCCCAAAAACAACCACAAAAGCAAGGAGTTGGGAGTCACTGCTGGGGAGACAGCTCATAGCCATGAGCCAGGCTCCATCACTGCTTATAGAGCAGCTACAAAGAGGTCCTGGGATGTGACTTAGTGGTAAAGCTCATGTCTTACTCTGGTTTGAATCGTACTTTGCCCTGGTTCAATCCCCAGTACCACAAAAACTGTTACATGAAAGTCTTTTCCAATTAGGCCAGAGCAGTAGCACAGCGGGCTGGAGCGATAGCACAGCAGGTAGGGCGTTTGCCTTGCACGCAGCCAACATGGCCAACCCGAGTTCAATTCCTCCACCCCTCTCGGAGAGCCCGGCAAGCTACTGAGAGTGTCTCGCCCACACGGAAAAGCCTAGCAAGCTCCCCGTGGTGTATTCGATATGCCAAACACAGTAACAAGTCTCACAATGGAGACCTTACTGGGCCCGCTCGAGCAAATCGATGAACAACAGGAGGACAGTGACAGTGGCAGTAGCACAGCAGGTAGGGCACTTGCCTTGCACACAAGCCAGCCTGCGTTCAATCCCCAGGACCCCAGATGAGAGTGATCTTGCAGAGTCAGGAGTAAGCTCTGAGCACTGCCAGGTGTGACCAAAAAACATATTAAGCTTTCTTACTGCATTTTGGATTGCAGACTCTTAATTGTGTTGAGTCATAAAAGACACTATTCCAAGACACTATTCCACTTTCTTATCTCTTCCTTCAAAACTGTTCCGACACAACCCACGCATTTCCTAGATCTGTTTCACCATGCTTTTGCTACCTACTTTCCTTGGAAACCTCTCTCCATACTGTTCCTTTACCCTGGCATTCCACTGCTTTTGTATCGCTATTTAACCTTGAGAGCTTGGTTTTAATCTCACTTCACAGAGAGAGACCTCCCCTGACAACTTTATCTATTTATTTTTGCTTTTTGGGTCACACCACACAATGCTCAGGGATTGCTCTGGCTCTGCACTCAGAAGTTACTTGTGATGGTGCTTGGGGGACCATATGGAATGCCGGGTATTGGACCCATGACGGACACGGGCAAGGTTAACGCCCCACTCACTGTACTATCACTCTGGCCCACCTCCCAATAACTTGAAAACAAAGTCATTTCCAGTCCCTAGATTTTCTCTAGCCACGCTTTTGTCTCCTTTAGCGCACTTGTAACACTTCCATTCATTTGGTGACTCATTTTGTTCTGTCTTTTCTGTTGGACTCTGTGGGGAAGGGGATCTCATCTGTCTTGTGGCTATTGATTGTGCGACAGGAGCCTTACCCTGTGACTGAAATGTAGTAACTGCTGAAACCTACATACTTTGTTGAATGAATGAATAAGTATAGCTGTTACTCTGTAAGTTTTGTATAATAGTAATAAGACTGTGGCCTCTGCCCTTCCAAGCTTATTCTAGTTTTTTTGTTTTTTGTTACGTGTTTTCTTTGTCCCTTCCTTTGTTCTGTCATCGTTGCTGTGTCCAGGATTTGCACACGCTCACCAGGTGTCGCACTCCTGCCCGTGATGCTCTCACCATCTTCATTTGTGCTGCGCTTACACACCTGGCTTTGTGCCAGAGATCAAACATGGCTGTAGCACCAGAGATTCCAGACAGCAGTTCTGCAGGGACTGAGCTAGGTACTTAGGATGCAGCAACGCGGATCCATCTCACGGCCTCATACTTGACAGGCAGGCACTTTAGCTGCTAAGCATACCCTGGGCTCAAACTGCTCTTTTACCAGCTGTCAGCAGAGGGATGTGATGACTAGCACTCTTCAGCCCAGAGGACTTCTAGGGACCCATTTTGCTATTTCTTTGTTCAGGCAGAAATTCATTGACGGGCTGGAGTGATAGCACAGCGGGTAGGGTGTTTGCCTTGCATGTTGCCGAGGCAGGTTCAATTCCATCTCATATAGTCCCCCAAGCATCACCAGGAGTGATTTCTGAGTGCGGAGCCAGGAGTAACCCTTGAGCATTGCTGGGTGTGATGCCACCCCCCCACCCACCCACCCTCACTCCTACCCCTCAAAAAAAAAAGCACCCTGGATGCTGAAGAGATACTGAGACTTTGCTGGTAGGCACTTCCCTTGCATGTGGCCAGACCAGGTTGAATCCCCGGGTCACCAGGAGTAATTCCTCAGCACAGCCATTTGTGGCCCAACACCAAAAAAGAAAAGAAAAGCCAGAGAGATGGCACAGTCATTAGGGCTTTTGCTTGGCACATGGCCAACATGGATTCAATCCCCAGCATCCCATATGGTCCCCTGAGCACAGCCAGGTGTGGCACAAGAACAAAAAGAACAAAAGAATTGAACTGTTTTTGCAGTAGTTTCATTTTTCACTAGTGTTAATACATTTAATAGCACTGTGTTGATGTTTATATTTGGAATAGGAATAATTTGATTATCATGTATAACTATAAAATGAATGCCTTTAATATTGATGTTTCCTAGATTATTCTGATCAGTTTATTTTTAAAATAAAGAAAAATAATTGTTAGGGCCCAGAGAGATAGCTCAGTGGATTGTTTATGAGCTTTACATGCAAGGTGCCTGGGTTCAATTTCCAGCATTGCATGGTCCCTCGAGCATTTGAGCCAGGAGTAGCCCTGAATACCACCTGGGTGTGGGCCGAAAACCAAACAAAGAGAGAGTAAAAACCAACTTTGTCAAGAAGGAAGTCCATGAACTAGAGTACCACTTTATCTCCTGTCTCTATTCCTTTTTACTTTTGGATAGGGCCCAACCCCCACAGCGCAGGGGGTTCTGTGAGAGGTAGCCGTGTGGTGCTGGGGACTGAGCTCAGGGCAGATCGCATGCTGGAGCTTTTCAAAGTGTCCACACCAAGTTTGCTGGGCATTTCTCTTCGACATCCTGGTATCCACTGTCAGTAACCATAGTACTGGGGCTAGAGCAATAGTGCATAGTACAGTGAAGAGGGCATAGTACTGCCTTGAGCTCAGCTGGCCTGGGTTCCATCCTTGGCACCACAATGATCCCCTGAGCACAGAGCCAGGAGTAAGCCCTGAGCATAATCGGGTGTGACCCAGATCAAGTAAAGTAAACATAGTACTATATGCATCCGAATAAATCACCCTTCCTCCTGAATTATTTCCTTTCTATCCGTCTTCTTGCTTAGATCGTTGTTTAACTGTTACTGTAGGAAAAATCTTGACAGTTATGTGGATCTAACAAATAAACACCGTTAATGTCATCTTAACCTCACAGAGTTTATGAGTGCAACAAACGCTGCAGTTGTGACCCAAACATGTGCACGAACCGGTTGGTGCAGCATGGGCTACAGGTTCGCCTCCAGCTATTCAAGACGCAGAACAAGGGCTGGGGCATCCGCTGCTTGGACGATATCGCCAAAGGCTCTTTTGTCTGCATTTATGCAGGTGGGTACTGAAATGGGGGAAGGGTTGCTTTCTCCGTCTGACGCAAGTTGAGCAGGAAATGCTTGAGAGGCTGAAGAGAGTTCATCCAGTCAGGCACTTTGCTTGCGCTCTGGCTGACCCAGGTTCGATCCTCAGCATCACATGTGGTCCCCTGAGCACAGAACCGGGGGACCCCAAAACAAAATTGAAAGTGGAGGGCTGGAGCAAGAGCAGTGGGTAGGGCATTTGCCTTGCATGCAGCCGATTCGGGTTTGATTCCCAGCATCCCATATGGTCCTAAGTACAAAGCCAGGAGTATCACCAGGTATGACCCAAAAAGGAAAAGAAGTAAATAAAAATAAAAGTGAATGAACTGTCAATTTGGAGTACTGTAGCACTGTCCTCCCATTGTTCATTGATTTGTTCAAGCAGCCCCAGTAACGTCTCCATTGTGAGACTTGTTACTGTGTTTGGCATATCGAATACATCATGGGTCAGGCTTTTCCATGCAGGCGAAATACTCTCAGTAGCTTGCCAGGCTCTCTGAGAGGGGTGGAGGAATCGAACCCGGCTTGGTTGGGCCAGCGGCTTGCAAGGCAAACGCCCTACCGCTGTGCTATCACTCCAGCCCAGTTTGGAGTACAAAAAGACTAAAAAATTTCTTTATAAAGAACAAGAGATGCCTGTCAGATGGAAGAGGAAGGGACAGATTTGCTTATGAGGCCAAGAATAAAAAGGGGGGCTGGAGCGATGGTACAACGGGTAGGGCATTTGCCTTGCATGAGGTCAACCCAGGTTCAATCCCCAGCATCCCATCTGATACCCCAAGCATCACCAGTAGTAAATCCTGAGTGCCAAGCCAAGAGTAACCCCTGTGCATCGCCTGGTGTGACCCAAAAAGCAAAAAAATGAAAAGGGGGCTGGAGCGATTGTACAGTGGGTAGGGCCTTGCACGCGACTGACCCAGGTAGAGAACTGGAGAGACAGGACAGGGTTAGCAGACTGTACAACTGATTCCAGCTCTGCCTGGGCATTCCATGCTCTCCCCACCCCAGCTTAGAGCTTATCACCAAAGTAATCACTGTCACTGTCACTGTCCTCCATTGGAGACTTTGTTGTTACTGTGTTTGGCATATCGAATACATCACGGGTAGCTTGCCAGACTGCCGTGCGGGCACGATACTCTCGGTAGCTTGCCGGGCTCTCCGAGAGGGGCGGAGGAATTGAACTCGGGTCATCCATGTTGGCCGCGTGCAAGGCAAACGCCCTGCCGCTGTGCTGTCGCTCCAGTCCATCACCAAAGTAATAATGAAAAGAAATGACAACATGTAAATGAAGGATGACACTTCCAAGCAAAGATGTGATGACATGATAGCAGAGCCCACTGTGCACCACCCTCTCATCACTACCCTGCCACTCCAGGAATCTGAAGCTTCACCAAGAATTCTCTTAGGTGAACAGAGAAAAAGAAGGCAGAAAGGACAAGAAAATATTGAAAATATTCCCCTAAAATGCACTAATTAAACTAATGTTACCTCGGAAAATTTTCAAACATTGTTAAATTTAAGAAAGGCAAAGCCAGGAGCAGAACTGTAGTACACTGGGCAGGGCAACTCCCCTTGCATGTGACAGATCTGGGTACAATCCCAATCCCCACCAGAAGTGTTCCCTAAAGCACTGCAGCTGAGGATGCTCAAAATCAAAAAAAAAAAAAACGAAAGAATGATGGGGCCAGCCCAGTAGTTCTGCAGGTAGGCTGTTTGCCTTGCACACGGCCAGCCCAGTTCCATTGTGAGCATATGAGCACCTGAGCATTGCCAGGTGTGGTCCCGCCAGCAGCCTCCCCACCTCCACCCTCCCAAAAAATGGCAGGGCCAGAGAGGTAATAGAGCCGATAGATCATTTACTTTGGATCAATCCGGGCTCAATTCTCTGCACCCTATATGGTTCCCCAGTCACTGCCAGGGCATTGCCAGGTATGGCCCCAAAACAAAACTAAAGGAAAAAATTTTTGTTTGTTTGTTTGTTTGTTTTTATTATTTATTGAATCACCATGAGAGCAGTTACAAAGCTTTTGGGTTTAAGTCTCGGTCATACAATGAAACACCCGTCCCTTCACCGTACCCATTTTCCACCACCAAAACCCCCAGTATATCCCCATCTCACACCCTCCCCCTACCTGTGGAGCAGACCATTTCCACATTACTCTCTCTACTTTAATTACATTCAATATTTTGACACCAGACCCACCATTATTATTTGGGATTTTACCCCAACAGTCAGATCTGCCGAAAAGGCAGCAGTAGGCAATTTGTTTTCTGGTGCTGGCTATAAATAACATGATTTTGGAATTCTGAAATTTTAGCAATTAAATCTGGAGGGATTTCTGGCAAAACCTGCTGGGTTCTGAGATTTATTCTTGAATCTCTGAGATCATGGCCGTTAAGCAGCTTGATCAGGAGCCAGAGAGGCAGTTAGTGGCTGTTGACTCAGGGTCTTGTTGGGGCAGGGAGGAAAGGGCTGGCTCCACCCCCATCCTCTGAGGCCCCACGTGTCTTGTCACTGCGGGCCCAAACCTGACTTGCCAGTGGCCTCTGGAGGATGGTGGTCACCGAGCCACCAAGGGGGAGCAAGCCAAGGCACGAAACCTATTCCCACCTGGGTTGGCCCGGCACCAGTAACCTACTGCGGGGACCAGACGCATTTCTGCCAAAACCCTTTGGGTTCCAAGATTTGTTTCTGAGTCTCTGGGATCATGGCCATTAAGCAGTTCCATCAGGAACCAGAGAGGCCATGCCTACAATTATATAGCTGAGCCGGAAGTGGTTTGTGGGTGTGTCTCCCACATACCTAACTTTTGGCTGTTTACTTTCTTGGTAAACTTTGCCCTAAGTTTTTGGAGTCTGGCCAAAGGCACAGCAGCAATTTTGGGGTATCTGGAAGTCTGAAGGCGCCATCAGGCTGCTGATGCACTCGCCTCACAGGCACAGATTGACCTGCTGGCGGGACCATACCCCTAAGGAAAAAAATTTTTTTAATGATAGCTGGAACTGTGAAGATAGTACAGAAGGCAGGGTGCTTGCCTCTGCACACTGCTTATCTGGATTGGGCACCCCAAATGGTCCCCAAATTTTGCCAGGAGTGAGTCCTAAGCATTGCTGGTGTGGCCTAGAAACCTCTCTGTGTTGTCAGAGTTAAGACTCAACAGAGCAAACCAGAGGGTGCTGTTGTGAGATCCTTATTTCTGAAAAGATATTCATAACCCTAGAAGACCGTTGCTTTTCATTCTAGGCAAAATCCTGACAGACGACTTTGCAGACAAGGAGGGCCTGGAAATGGGCGACGAGTATTTTGCTAATCTGGACCATATCGAAAGCGTCGAAAACTTCAAGGAAGGCTATGAGAGTGACGCTCCCTGCTCCTCGGACAGCAGTGGGGTTGACTTAAAGGACCAGGAGGATGGCAATAGTGGCACTGAGGAGCCCGATGAGTCCAATGACGATAGCTCAGATGACAACTTCTGTAAGGATGAGGACTTCAGCACCAGCTCAGTGTGGCGCAGCTATGCCACCCGGCGCCAGACCCGTGGCCAGAAGGAGAATGGGTCATCTGAGTCGGCACCCAAGGACTCTCGTCCCCCAGACCTTGGACCCCCACATATTCCTGTTCCTTCCTCAATGCCTTCAGGGGGCTGCAATCCACCTTCTTCTGAAGAGACTCCCAAGAACAAGGTGGCCTCATGGCTGAGCTGCAACAGTGTCAGTGAGAGCGGCTTCACCGAGTCTGATAGCCGCTCATCCTTCAAGACAGGTGAGGTGGGGGCAGGCAGGGCGGAGCCTGAAAAGTCTTCCACCTCGGAACTGGCCCTCAAGGAGGAGGGCGACACCAAGCAACCCAAGAAAGAGGTGAGCAGCTGCCACGCCACGCCACGCTTCATGCCACATCATCGTGACTCTTCACGTGCTTACTATCTTCACATACTTAATTCACTCGAATGCACCTAGTATTTGGTAAAAGAACCAAATTTGGGGCTGGAGCAATAGCACAGCCGGTAGGGCGTTTGCCTTGCACGCGGCCTACCGGGTTCAATTCCCAGCACCCCATATGGTCCCCCAAGCACCGACAGGAGTGATTTCTGAGTGCAGAGCCAGGAGTAACCCCTGAGCATCGGCTGAGTGTGACCCAACAAAGAAAAGGGAAAATAAAAAGGACCAAATTTGGTGGGACTGGAATGATAGTACCGCAGGGAGGATGCTGGTCTTACAGCTGACCCTGGTTCGATCCCCAGCACCCCATATGATTTAAGCACCACTAGGAGTGATTCCTGAGCATACCTGAGTGTGGTCTAAAAAATACTGATTTTTAAAAACTCGTTTTTGTTTCGGGGCCACACCTAGCAGTGCTCAGGGCTTACTCCTGGCTCTCCTCTCAGGAAGTACTCCTTGAAATACTCAAGAGACCATATGGGACACCTGAGATTGAACCCGAGTTGGCTGTATAATTGGGTTGGGGGGTGGCACAGCTGGCAGTGCTGACAACGCTCAGGAGCGTTACTCCTGGCTCTGCACTCAAGAATCACTCCTGGTGGGCTTGAGGGACCCAAGTGGGATGCTAGGGATTGAACTCCGGTCAGCCGCATACAAAGCAAACATGCCGCCCACTGTGCTATGTCTTTAGTTAAAAAAAAGAAAATGGGGGTTGGGGCTATAGAGCAAGCCCTGGAAAGAAGCATAGCAAGGTGTGGCCCCAACACACTCCTCAAAAGTTTGTGCAGGGAGTGGGGGCACTGGGCTGAACTACTCTGGCGCAAGGACCAAACTCTTAAAACCAGCCTGGTGGGGATGGTAGTGGGGGTGGGGCAGCATCTGATTGATTCTTGAGCAAAGGATTAGAGGTTTGGTGGGTTTGGTTTGTTTTCCTTAGTCATTTCAGTTTTATCATTGCTACTGTTGAATCAGTATTCAGTGTATTTTAATAATGTTGAACCCTTGGTCCTTGTAAGATTCCTTGAGCATATCATGCCCTGTCACTGGGTAAGGTTAAAGATCTCTTCCTGGGAACGACAGGGGATTGTATTTGGCTGCTGCTAAGTCACAGGGTGATGCCTGCGTGTACTTCACATTCGATAGCGCACTTCTCGCCAGTTATGTCTTAGGAGGTCATTTGAAGTGAATCTGAGAGCTGCATTCGCTACCTAATGACCTTGAAGTCTGTTTGAAACATTGAACCCTTCACTTACTCTCTTTCCTAGGACCCGGATGACCGGAACAAGATGTCTTTGTAAGTGTCTGTTTCTTACCCCTTGGGCCTACCAAAAAAGAAAAAAAAAAAAACTAAGACAGTAATCTGGACCCCTTCCATTCCTTCTCCCTGCAGAGGCCCTGAAAGCTCGCGGAACTATGGCTATAACGCTTCTCCCATGAAGACTGAAGAGCTGCGCCGCCCGCCCAGCAAAACAAGCGCGCATCAGAGCCGTAGGCTCCTGGCCTCCACACAGTCCAACCCTGATGTGAGTGGCCGCCTTTTCAAACGGTTTCAGCAGATCGCTTTTTTTTTTTTTTTTTTTTTTTTTTTGGTAGTTTTACTTATTTGGAGGGGGCAGGTTGGCATAGCTGGTAGTGCTCGGGGCTTTCTCCTGGCTCTGTACTTGGGCTCACAGGACCCGGGTCAGCTGTGTGAAAGTCAAACACTTTAGCACCTTCACTCTCTCTGGCCCTGGGTGAACTGCTTCAGTCAGAGTCCTGAGTAAAATGTTCCTTTCATCTCCAAAGTCTCAAGACTCAGCATAGTAGTCACCTTTGGGCTTCTCTTTGCTTCTCTGGCCTCGCTTCCTTCATCCAGCATCTAGTATTTTGCTTCCTCCGGCCCAGCCCCCTCCCACCTGACCATAGGTGAGAGCAGGGCCGTGATCATCTGCTGCCTTCTCTCATCCTTTCTACTTCCCCCTTCCTCAGGATGTCCTGACACTTTCCAGCAGCACAGAGAGTGAGGGGGAAAGTGGGACCAGCCGAAAGCCCAATGCTGGCCAGACCTCAGCCACTGCAGTGGACAGCGATGAGATCCAGACCATCTCCTCTGGCTCAGAAGGGGACGACTTTGAGGACAAGAAGAACATGTCTGGTAGCCTGGCACTAGTTTGTGGGAAATAGGTGGGAACAGTAGGAGAAGTAGGATAGGGTATTTCGGCGGGGAGGTGCGGGCGGGGCCGTCCCCTAGCGATGCTCGGGAGTTACTCCTGGAAGTACTCCCTGCGGACTTGGGGAATTGACCTGCGGGTGGAACCCAGGTTGGCCTCAGGCAAAGCAGTCACCCTTACCACCCCAGATCCTGGATGGGAGGTTTTTAAGGCTGATGAAAGAAGTAGGGCAGAGGGCCGTGGTGCAGCTCAGAGGTGGAACGCTCGGGGCAGGGAAAGGAGTAGGAGCTGAAGCCTGCTGGCTGACCCGCAGTGAGACATCCTCTTCAAGTCCCCAGCTGCTCATCTTTTAGCTCCCCTCAGTTCATGTACAAAACACATCTAATACTGTTGGAAAAATCTTTCCAAACCTTTTGTTTCAGGGGTCACACCTGACAGTGCTCAGGGGCGCATGCAGGGTGCTGGGGATCAAACTTGGGTCAGCCGTGTGCAAGGAAGTACCCCACTGTTCTTCCTCTCTGGCCTCAGAATCCCTCACTGGCCCTGCACTGCAGTGAGTGGGGTGGGAATGGGAGAATGCCCGCTCCTCTTTATCCTGACTCCACTGTTCCTTATCTCTGCACCGGCCAGGTCCAGCAAAGCGCCAGGTGGCGGTGAAATCAACCCGGGGCTTCGCTCTGAAATCCACCCATGGAATTGCCATTAAGTCGACTAACATGGCGTCTGCGGAGAAAGGCGAGAGCGCGCCGGTCCGCAAGAACACGCGCCAGTTCTACGATGGCGAGGAGTCTTGCTACATCATCGACGCCAAGCTGGAAGGCAACCTGGGCCGCTATCTCAACGTGAGACCCCTTTCCTCGCCGCCCAGTGCCGAGTTCTCCCATGGGCCTCAGATTTTTCGTTCTTGTGGGCACAACTGTATAAACCCACATTTTCTTTCTTGAAGCGTTTGATCTCAAAGGATCTCAAAGAGGGAGCTTTCTTTCCAAACCTCTGCTGAGATGGGAAGATCAGATGACATTGTTTTTCTTCCACTTCTCAGTCCCCACGGCCAGATTCTGTTTCCCTGGTTCTTACTCAGACCTGCTCTTAACTCCACAGCATAGCTGCAGCCCCAACCTGTTTGTCCAGAATGTCTTCGTGGATACTCACGACCTGCGCTTCCCCTGGGTGGCCTTCTTCGCCAGCAAGTAAGAGGGCATGGGACGGCGGGAGGGGCATGGTTGCTGCTCGGGGTCCCGGCGCCCTGCCTTCACACCCACCCTCTTCTTCCTCCCTAGGAGAATCCGGGCCGGGACGGAACTCACTTGGGACTATAACTACGAGGTGGGCAGTGTGGAGGGAAAGGAGCTGCTGTGCTGCTGCGGGGCCATCGAGTGCAGAGGGCGGCTGCTGTAGGACCTGCCCCGGCCCCCCGCGCTCTTTCCTCAGGAACTGGGGCTCCCAGGCCGTTGACCTAGACCCCCACCCCCTCCGGGTCTCCGGTCAAGCTCCGTGCCCACCTCCAGCAGCTAGAAATGGGAGTTGTGGAGTGGGAGACCCCTTCCAATGTGGTGCTAGCAGGCAGGGTCCTGCCTCCACCTGCAGACACGGCAGGTGGGCAATGGCTAGCTGCCGACCCTGCCGGCCCCTCAGCCCTCCTGCTGCTCATCTCGGCGCCCCCATCCACCCCAGTCTCGCGTACTCGCACTTCTTGAGAATGAGGGCTGTGTATTCACCACCCCTGGTTTGTATTGTTTCTTGAAACCTTACACAAGACGTTAAAACAAAGACTGATGTGACTTTGGCTTCTCTCCCTGGGTTGCCCTCCTCTGCTTCGGGGAGATCTGCCCATCCCCAGCTCCCCACACCCTGCTTATTTCACCCCAGGGGGGGAACTTCCTTACCCCAGATCTTCTGCCTTTACTCCTTTCCCTGCAACGGGGCTAGGGGAGATGGCTCCGAGGACTGGGGCACAGCCTTGGGATGTACAGGGCCCCAGATTGACCCCCAGCACCCCAGCGGATGGCTCCTGGGCCATATGGAATATGGCCTAGAAACACACACACACACACACCCCAAAAAGAAAGATACCACAGGGCTGTGAGAAAGGTATGAGGAAGACTTAGTTTATTAGTTCATCTCCCTTTTCAATTCCTAATAGTCGCAGACACTTATTGCCATGTTTTAATCTTTAATATATTTTAATTTTTTTTTTAAAAAAAGACATTGACAGTACATTTTGGTCTGAAGTGGTCCCTCTGCCAAATGCCAGGTGCTAGCTGTAATTCTGGCTTGAAAACACAAACCCCAACTGTTTAAATAAATAAAATCAGAACTAGTTGCCTCTCTACTCCAAACCAGCAAGCCCTGGGAAAGTGGCCAGGGAAAGCGGGCAGTAAGTTACGGGCTCGCGGTCCCGCGAGGTTGGCAGAGGAGCGGGTTGAGCTCCCCGCTATTTGGCAGAGGTTGGGAAGGGTCGCGCACACCTTCCTCCCTTGGTTCATTTGCAGCTAAGGAGGGAAATGTTAAAGTCAGCTCAGTTTGGGGCTGCTTAGAAACATGAGCCTTGGTCCAGCTTTGGCAGAATGGGGCCCCCGGATGGGACAGTAAGGCCTGGCCATAGCTCTGGAGTCCCCAAGTCGAAGGCAGACAGCTAGGGCCAAATTTTGAATAAGGAATGTGAGTTGGAAGCCCCCACCCCGGAGGTGGGAAAAGGGCTCTAAAGCAACAAAGAACACCTTGACAAGGAAAGCGAGACACACTCTCCCGCAGGATCGAGCCGGCTGCCCCTCCTGGGGTGGGGAGGGGGTGCGGGGTAGCTGGCTACATTTGGGTTTAAAGGCAACTGGGTGACGGAGGCAGGGCTGGGGCAGGCAACTCTCCCCTGGGTTTCTGCTTTCTCCTTCCTCCCCAGAAGTTGGGGGCCCTCGGGGGACGGTGGGGAGACCGTGGCCTTCTGCCGGAATGAGGGACACAGAATCCTTCAGTCCTTCTTGCGATGGTGGTTCAGGACAGGGTGGCCATTGGCTAGAGGCTGGCTCTTCGCCCCTCCCCCGGCAGCAGGCTCCTCCCCTTCCGAGCTTTCTGTCTCTTCCCGGTCACTGCGTTCATCTTCTACCAGCTGTCCAGAGGGCAGAGCAGCGTTAGCACCTGTCCCAAAACCCGAGCCCCACCTCTGCTCTGCCTTGCCCAATGCACAGGGGCTTGTGGCAGCAGTCACTCGAGGGTGCTGCGTGTGAGCGTGGCGGAACCCCACGAACTCGGCACGGCGCCTTTACCTTTCCAGTTAGGAACTTGTGGGCCATGCGCAAAATGAGGTAGGCCCAGAAGATATGCAGCAGCTGTAACACTCCTAACATGGCGTTGAAGAAGTAATAGCCAAAGAAGGCAGGGTAGAGGTCCAGCGGGTACACCAGCGTGCAGTGCATGATCCTGGGGAGGGGAGGGGAGCAGGGTCAACACAGAGGGGTCACAGGGGAGGTCGTGGGGCCTCCCCCGTACTCACCAGAAGGGCAGGATGACCAGGCGCGTGATGATGAAGACAACAGCGAAGACGATGAAGATGTTGTTGCAAGTATTCTTCCATCCCGCGTAGTTAAACATCTTGGCTGACTGCAGGGATGGGCCCCACCATCATCAGCAACACTGACCCTCCCACACCCATCACCAGAGGGGGTCTCTGTCCCCACCTGCTTGGGCCCGGGTATGCCAGCCACCACCACTGGGAAAAAAGGGCTGGGGAGATGGAACGCGAGCTTTCCAAGTGCAGGCCCCAGAGTCCCAGTACCGCTGGGCATGACCCACAAAAAAATCTAGGGTAGACAAGAGGATGACTGCATGCTGGGAGCCCAGACTACCCCCAGCACCGTAAGGCAGCCCCAGCTGTGCCCCCCGCAGAAAAAGGCAACCAGAAAACCTCAAGGGTCTGCAGGTGTGATGGAGTGAGCGGGAAGCCTGACCTCGAGCAGGTAGTCGGAGGAGTCATGCAGAGCCATGATGAGGGTGCCCGCGCGGATGTAATTGGCAAACCAGGAGAAGCTGATGAGGATGATGGTGGCCACGTGGTGGATGACCTGCTCCTTAAAGTCCTGCAAAAGAGAATGGGAAACTCCCATTCTTCACCCCTCCCAAGGTGGCGAAGCTCTTCACCCGGGGACCATCTGGGCCAGGGCACACCCTGCCTACCTTTCTCTTCACATCGGAAGCAATGCTGAAGAGGAGGGACCAGTAGAAAGAGAGCTCGATCATGTAGTACCAGTACTGCGAAGGGATGGTAGTCTGCGGGGAGGAGCGGGCAGATGGAGCACTCCAGGACTCACCTCTGGGGAAAGAGGAGGATCCTGCTCCCCGGTGACTCCCCACCTGCGGAGTTGGCCGCATGTCATACCTGGATAGGGTAGCCCTCCCAGACTTTCTTCAAGTCATAGAACCAGGGTTTCTGCAGAGAGATGTTGAGAGTGAGAGGAGGGATCTGGAGCCATAGGACAGCGGGGAGAACACTCACCTTGCACACAGCTGACCCAGGTTCGATCCCAACACCCAGTAGCCCCCCGCCGCCACCAGTCTCTGTGAGGAATGATCCCTGAGCACAGAGCAGAGAAGTACTGTGCACCACCAGGTGTGACCCGCAAAAAAAAAAGGGGGGGATCGTAATATTTTTTTTCTTTTTGGGTCACATCCAGTCAATGCTTGGGTTACTCCTGGCTCTGCACTCAGGAATCACTCCTGGCGGTGCTCAGGGGACCATATGGGATGCTGGGAATCGAACCTGGGTCGGCCGTATGCAAGGCAAACGCCCTACCTGCTGTGCTATTGCTCCAGCACCTTACTTTTTTTTTTTTTTTTTGGTTTGTTTTGAGGCTCAGGAATCATTCCTGGTGGGCCTTGGGGAATCATGGGTTGCAGGGTTCAAACCTTGGTTGACCACACGCAAGGCAAGCATCCTAACGGATCCTAATTCTATATGGCCTTAACTTCACCAGCACACAGCTCCCCTGCCTGAAGCCCAACTCACGTCCATGATGACAAACATGCCGGCGACGAAAGCAATCAGGTAAAATGTGAATCTCCAGCTGCGAAGGAGAAGGGGCAGGAGAGTGGCGTGGCCGCCCACAGCCCTGGGCCCCACCTAGTCCTGCTCAGTGTAGGCCCGCCCAGCAGGGCAGCCACCCCGCACCCGTACCTGGCTTCTCGGAATTTCTTCAGAAGACTGGGCCGGTCCTGATTGCGGCGGCGACGGAACCAGCGCTCTACCTGACGGCATGAGAGCCCACTCTGCCGGGACAGGAGGTCCACCTCCACCTGGGGTGAGACAGAGCTCTGCCTGCGCGCCCCACACACAGTACAGCCCTAACAGCACCCCTCCATCCCTGCCACCAGCCCTTCGGCTGCCTCTCTGAACCGGGACCAGGGAGCACCCAGCGCCTACCTGTGTGGGCTGCTTGCCACTGGTCAGGTAGAAGTGCTCCAAAGTCGGGTTGGGAGACGCCCGCAACCGAGTTTTCTCCTTGACATTTAGGAGGGCAGCCAGTGGCGTAGCCACGTAACTGAGGAAGGGAAAGGAGAGAGGCGTCAGCTCCCCGGAGGCACCTCTGTCTCCTGTCACCCCTTCACTGGTAGGGGAAAGGCCAGACAATCTTGTTCTGGGCCTCAGTTTCCCAGCAGTGCCCTCAGATCGCCCAGTGTGTGACAAAGCTGCCTGTGTTCAGTGACCAGGAAGGAGGGGTAGAGGTTCTCACAATTGCAGGGAAAGGCCTGGGGATGCCCCCAGCAGAGAGGACAGTGCCACCTTCAGTGGGGGACAGGAGGCACACCAGGGGCCCGGACTCTAAACAGCCAAAGATTTGAAGGCTGATGAAGGCACAGGGGAGGTGGTTAACACTCACAGCTCAAAGAAGTAGCGGACGATGAGGAAGAGCAAGGCTAGGGGTAGTGTGATGTAGAGGTCGGAGGCTTTGGCGTAGACGCGGCCCTCTCGGTCTTCTAGATCGGCCCAGGTTAAGTTCACGGGCAGCCACAGCCGTTCCCACCAGAAGTAGTCATACAGGGTCTGGAGCATCCTGGGAAGGGGAGGGGCCAGTCACAGGCATCAGCGCTATGCCATACAAGACAGGAGAACACGGTCCCCACTGAACAGGCGCAGGGCCCTACCCAAGCCTTGGTTCTGGATCCAGCCACATACCTCGGACAGACCAGCTCCCACCATTCTCACAGAGCCCCAAGAACTGCAGGCGGGGCCCAACACCCCATGTGGGCAGCAGGTCGCCAGCGAAAATGAAGAGTTCATAGTAAAGCAGCATTACAGTCCCAGAAGAGCTACACGATCAATGACAGACCAACACACAAGGCTCGGGGCCAGAGAAAGTGGAATGGCAGCACTTGCCCTGCACGCTGCCAACCCACTTTTTTTTTTCTTTTTGGGTCACACCCCCGGCGATGCACAGGGGTCACTCCTGGCTCTGCACTCAGGAATCATCCCTGGCGGTGCTCAGGGGACCATATGGGATGTTGGGAATTGAACCTGGGTCGGCCGCGTGCAAGGCAAACGCCCTCCCCGCTGTGCTCCAGCCCCTGCCAACCCACGTTTGATCCCCGCACCCTGTCCATCAGGAATGATCCTGAATGCAGAGCCAGGAATAAGCCCTGAACACCACTGGGTGTGGCCCGAAACCCAGAATCAAACCAAGAAAAAAAGATTAACATCCTACACAAAATAGTCCCATCCAAGAGTCCCGTTCAGGACAGAAGAACACTCTCTTCAACCTCTTCAGAAAGTCAAGCACCCGAGGATGGTACAACAGGGCCAGGGTGGGGAGGAGGGGCCTCTTACAGACACATATGGCCCCCTTAGCCCTGAGCACAGGTGTGGCCAGAACTAAAAACAGTTTGGGGCTGGAGCGATAGTACAGCGGGTAGGGCGTTTGCCTTGCATGCGCCTGACCCGGGTTTGATTCCCAGCATCCTACATGGGAGTTGAGTTACTCCCCTGAGCACCACCAGGAGTAATCCCTGTGCATCACCGGATGTGACTCAAAAAGGAAAAAATGGGGGAGGTAAGACAGCCATCAGACTTCTGGTGTAATTAGGAGTGATTTTTTGTTTGGGGGCCACAAGAAACAGCTTACTCCTGGATCTGCACTCAGGAATCACGCATGGTGGGCTCAGGGTACCCTATGAGATGCCAGAGATCAAACCCAGGTCTGGTACAAGCACCCTGCCTGCTATATTATTGCTCCGGGCACTAGAGTGATTTTTCAGGCTTTTGGGACGCACTGGCAGTGCTCAGGGGTTACTTATGGCTCTGCACTCAGGAATCATTCCTGGCCAGCTCAGGGGACCATATAGGATGCTGGGGGTCGAACCAGGGTCAGCTTTGTACAAGGCAAACGTCCACCCACTGTACTATCTCTCCAGCCCCTGGAGTGATTTCTTACTAACGTTCATCCAGTGAACTAAATTCTAGGGGGGTGGTTGGTCTGGTAGCATGTCCTGAAGAGCCACCGAGAGAAGAGCCGTGTGGTGACAAGGAGCTGGCCTGCCCAAGGGGGAGTTCTGCTGGGAGCTGAGAGGAGCAGCAAGATGGTCCCACGGGGGTGGGGGCCACACCTCACCTGCACTCTGCCTGAGCAGTGGCCATGAGCACCCACAATCACCCTGCAGGGGGAACGCGGGGCTGGCTTCAGGCCAGGTCGGGCCGGAGCAGGGGTGAGACGTGCCCGGAAGTCCCCTCCAGCTGCTCCCCGGCAGCCCCACCCCCAGCCGGAGCCTTGAGCCTTGCGAAACCCTCAGCCTGTCACGGGTCCTTATTCCAGCTCGAGGACTTTACCCTCTTGTCCTCATCCTTGTCTCAGTGCTGATGAAATCAGAGGTCAGTCCTGACAAAGGGGCTCAGCGCTCCGGGCTCCCACACACACATTCCAGGTCTCGCTCCTCAAGGGCGCGGCCCCAGCCCCCTCAGCTCAGCCAGAAGAACCAGAAGAAAGACTGAATCCGCCAGAGGAGCAGGGAACTGGACGAGCAGGACACGTCAAGCAGCCCCCCCCAGAACCACCACCCAGACAGTTAAAGGAAAGTTGCAGGAATGGGGTCGGGCCAGAGCGAAAGCACAGTGGGGAAAGCCTTGCACCCAGCACCCCACTGGGCCCCCCTGAGTGCCACCAGGAGTGATTCCTGAGCACCGCTGGATATGGCCCAAAAACTAAGTGGAAGTCGAAGCGGCAGAAGACCTAAACGCTAGCGCGTCAGTCCTGTCCTTTCTACTCATCCTGACCGGGCCCAGGACCCAGCCCCGCAGCCACGGCGGGCTAAGAGACTGCCCATGCGGCCACCCCTCCCCACCCTGCTCACGGGAGTTTCTCGTGGAGGAATCTGGGGGCCGAGGGAGTCGAAGGCTGGCAGGGGTCCTGAATGTGCCTGTTTTCTCCCCGAAAGGTGAGGTGCTAAGGCAGCTCGGCCCACAGGCCATGGGGGCCACCCACTGAGGGAAGAGCTCGGGGAGAGGAAGACTCGCAGGGTTCCGGGGTCCCGAGGCTGCCTGTCCTTCCAAGGCGCAGGAGAGGAGACCGCTTCAAGCCTCAGCCCTCTCCTAGAAGGGGCTTTTCTGGGCCTCGCCCCACACAGAGCCCAGGGGTGGCAGCCCAACGGCTCGTGGACACCAACTGGCCAGGCCCAGCCAGGGCTCCTCAGAACAAATGCTGGGGCGTGAAATGGGGCCGCACCGGGCCCGGGGAGACTGCCCTGCTCCTCTGCACCCTGGTGCCCTCAAGAACAATGACTTGATTTTCTGGTGGTGAAAAATCACAACGACTGATATTTTTTCCACTCGCAGAAGCCACTCCCACACCACAGCACCACACACGCAAACAATGGGGCTTGTGTGGTGCATGAGCAGAGGCACCTGCCTCAGACACTCAGGGAGGCTGGAGAGGGGCCAGGGGCAGGGATTTATTTCACAGGCATCGGGTTACACACACCCCCAATACCCCCGCGCCCACAGGGGCCCAGACCCTTCTGTGGAGGGAAAGGGACAGAGGGTCGGGGGGCATGCAGAGAGCTGGACAGGCCTAAGGGGAAACTGGGCTGGAGGGATTCTTACACCCTGGCATTCCCGTGACCCTCAGCCTGGAGGCTGCACTGAGAAACGGGTGGAGAGGGTAAACACTGGAGGGTCCCACAGGCACGAGATTTCTGCTGCAGAGACTACAGAAAAGCAGCAGGGGGCCAGAGAGGTGGCCTAGTGGGTAGGCACTCGCGTTGCTCACGGCCTACCCAGATTTGATCCGTTGCTCACGGCCTACCCAGATTTGATCCCTGCACGCGAGGTTTTTCGGAGCATCGCTGGGTGTGGCACAAAAGAAAAACAAAAAAGAAAACAAGTAGAAAAAGACCTGATTGAGAACTCTGTCAGGCAATGCTGGTTGCCTGAGAGCAAGGGTGCCTGCCACACAGAGGGACGAGGCGCTTGAAATGCAGAGAGACCACAAAGCTGGACAGTCCCTAGGGGCAGGTGGGCATCACAGAGAGGACGCAGCTCTGGCCGGGGCGGAAAAAGGGGGGAACCTGGCCAGAGGCCCTGGTGAGGGGTGGGGGAAAGGCGGGGGCGGGTGGGGGGCAGGGTTAGGCAGGAGCCTCCTCCGGGAAGCTTCTGCAGGTTATTGTCCAAGCGACGCGGATCCTGGGATGGGCGCTGCAGACCCTGGAGACGCGGCTCTCAGCCCCTCGCCCTCCCAGACCCCGGCCCCCCTGGATTCCGCCGGGGCCAAACACCCCCCACCCCAGAGCCGACGTCCTGGGGGTCTTGCACGTCCAGACCTGGGCCGGGGGCCTCCGAGCATGCAGCCGACAGGTGAGCGGACACGAGCCGAGCGCCCGGCGCTGGGAGAAGCCCCCACCCGGGTGAGAGGCGGCCGCACACCTGCAATTAACCTTCCTGCCAGAAGGCCTCGGGTCACTAATTAGCAAGTTGGGACCCAGAAAACCAGTTCCGCCAGCGGCCTCCCCCACACCCGCGCACACACACACACACACACACCCCATAACGGTCCCGGCGTGGGTCTGGGGGCCGCGGCCCGCTCCTTCCTGCTTCCCGGGCGGCACAGGGACGCGCCGCGCCCTCGGGGCGGGCCGGGCGACCCCGGGCCGCGGGACCCCCGCCCAAAGGGGCCGGGGCCGAGGGCGCCGCCCGGCCCGGGGTCTCGCCCGGGCCGTGCCAGGCGCGGGGCGTCCCGCGCGCGACTCCCCGAGCCCCCGCGCCCGACCAAGGGCCGCGCCGCGCCCCGTCCGGCTCCGACCTGTTGCCCGATCGCGCCCCGGGGCCGCGGGGGCCGCGGGCGCCCGCCCCCAGGTCCGGCCCGGCCTCCCGTTCGCCGCCATCGCGCGGGGCCCGATCCGATCGGGCGCCCGGCCCGGCCCGGCCCGCGCCGTCCCCCGGCCCGCGCCCCCCGCGCGCGCCCCCCGCGCCCGCCCCCGCGCGCCCGCGGGGCCCGGGGCGCACTCACGCGGCGTTGGTGGCGGCGCGGGCCGGGCCGGGCCGCTGCTCCGAGTCCGGCGCCGAGCTGGGCCCCCCGCAGGCTCCGGCCTCTCCTCCCCCTTCCGCCCGCCGGGCCCGCGCCGCCTCCTTCCTCCTCCTCCCGGCCCGGCCGCCAGCCCGCAGCGCCGCCCCGGACCCCGCGGGACGCGCCGCGCCGCCCCGGAACCCGGCCCGAGAGGGGCGCTCGGCCGCGGATCCGCGCCGCCGGCCCCCGGGGCCGAGCCCGCCACCCGCGGGACGCCCCGCGCCACCCAAGGGCCCCGGGACGCTCCCCGGGGCGCGCCGGCCGCCCCCGGTTCCGAAAGGGCCACCCCCGGCCCGGCTGGCTGGCAGGGGCGCCTTTCCGGCCTCCACCCGCTCATCGGCGAGGGGATTCGGGGTTCAGAGCCGGAGGGAGAGGGTCCCGCGCCGCGCGGACCCCGGGATCTAACCAGGGAGTCGCCCCTCGGGCCCCTGGGTGTGGCCCGGGGGACCGAGAGAAAGGGGGGAAGTCAGCACGAAAATGGACTTTTCTCCTGGTCTGACACGAAGAAGATGCAACGTGGACGTTCTGAAGAACTGGCCCCAATCCCCAGGATAGGTTGCAAGGGTGTTTACGCAGACTCGGTCTCTCAATTATGTTGTTTGGTGGTATGCTAGGGTCACTCCCTACAGGAGTCCACCGCAGTGCCTGGACCGAGTCCAGGGGTCCTGATGCAAAACACGTGCTTTTTATTGGCGGGGGTGTGGGGTGCGGAGAGGCTTACTCCATGCCAGGGGGCTTACTCCAGACTCAGTGCTGGGATGGTTTCAAAGGACCTAGTGGCTTGAAACTGTCCCCAACCCTTTGAGCCCTCTCCCTGACCCCCAGGTCTCTGAACCTTTGACCGGGGTCGGTCTTCCTGCCGGGAGCCAATCTGGAACCCAGAGCCCCATCTAAGCAAGCTAAGTGCTCTCCCACCGAGTCACATCTGGACCCAGTATGGCCCTTTTCCTACAGAGACTGACAGCAGTTTCTTCCCAGGACACCTAGTCCGGGTGGCTGAGCTCTGTTCTGGGGAAGAGAATGATCTCTGCTCGTGCAGCTGGGCTGTTTCTGGAAGACAGAACAGAATCTGACCCCATGTCTGCTTCTGCTGGGTAAGGAAGTGGGGCCCCAGGCCCAAACCCTCTTGAGCAGTGGCGGGCTGGTCCCTGCACCTGTTCCCCGAGGGCCTGTTTTCTGGCCCAGACCTGTCAGCAGTTCAGCAGCCTGGGGCCTCTTCCCTCTGCTGGCTGGCTGTCCTCATTACCGTATCTCTGACTTAATCACCGCCTTTGAGACTCGCCTTCTGTTCCAAAGGTCCTCGACTTTCCAAAGCGCCTTCCCCACACCCTCAAGCCTTTTACCTGAGTCTCATCCTTGGAGCCCACCTACCTAAGGTCAATTTTGGATCCTTCTCCCACCTCCCACCTCTGTCTGACTTGCTGCCCCGTCTTTGGCCTCCAAACCCTTTTCTTTCCCCGTGCCAGGCTTACCCCATGCCCCCCACCAGGTCGTTTGCTTATTTTGGGTTCCAAGAATGGAAACCAGGGGAGAAAAGTACAGCGGGGAGAGTGCTTGCCTTGTGTGTGGCTGGTCCTGGTTTGCTCTCCAGCAACTCTGAGCCCTCCTGGAGTGATCCCTGCAGACAGAGGCAAGAGTAAGCTCTGAGCACTGCCATGTATAGCCAAAAAAGAATCAAACCCAAGACTTCATACATGCCAGGCAGCCTTTTTCCCAGTTATACTTTTTGTTATTGAAAGGGAGGTGTTGGGGACCACCCCAAAGCGCTCAGGGCTTATTCCTGTTCTAGGGGATCACTCCTGGCAGGACTTAGGAAACCCTAGCAGGGAGGGGGATTGCATCAGAGTTGCCCCCTGCAAGGGAAGGGCCTTTCTGTGCCTCTTTCCGAACATGCCACGCTGTGCTCAGGACTTACTGCTGGCTCTGTGTTCAGGGATCAATCCTGGTGGACCTCAAACCCAGATCAGCTGCACGGAAGGCAAATGCCTCCAGGCTTACGATCACTCCACCCCTCCTCTACACCTTTTTCAGGGATCCCTCTTGGCAGTCCTTGGAAGGACTGAGGACTAGTTCACATGGGGGGGGGGGGGGGAGGGAGGGTTCCCAATCAATGCTTGTGAGAGTCACTTCCAACCGGAAGTTCAACTTACCTCTGGAGTCTGTGCAGTGATGGTCAGATCTGAGGACGATCAGATAACATTCAGGGACCATGTGGTAACCAGAGACACAACTTGGGGCCTCTACATGCTTGTCCCCTGCTCTTCAGCCATCTGAGCGAGTTTCTCATCACCAGTCAAACTTTCAAAGGGACCCGAGTAATAGTACAGCAGATTGAGTGCTTGCCTTGCGTATGACTGATCCGGGATTAATCCCTAGCACCCTATATAGTTGGTCCACTCAAGAGTGAGCCCTGAATGCCCTGCCACAGAGGCAGGGTGGGATGGGGGGATGGGGTGGGAGCGATATTATCCATGGTGGTGGAAATGGGCACTGGTGGAGGGATGGGTGTTTGATCACTGTATAGTCGAGACCCAAGCACAAAAATTTGTGGATCTACAACTGTACCTCATGGTGTTTCACCAATAAAAAAAAAAGAAAAAAAAGAAAAAAAAAAGTGAGCCCTGAAGGCTGGAGAGATAGTACAGCGAGTAGGGCAGTTGCCTTGCACGCGTCCAACCCGGGTTCGATTCCCAGCATCCCATATGGTTCCCTGAGCACCGCCAGGAGTAACTCCTGAGTGCAGAGCCAGGAATAACCCCTGAGCATCGCCAGGTATGACCCAAAAAGAAAAAAAAAAAATAGTGAGCCCTGAGCACCAAGCCAAGGGTAAGCACTGATCATGAGAGGTATGGAGGGGGAAAAAAATCTTAAAATAGTAGCAGAAGGTATTGAAGTGTGATTGTACATCAGTTGTGGCTGGACCCAGTTCAAATCTGGCCCATATGGTTCCCCAGCCTCACCAGGTGTGGTCCTTGAACACAGAGCTAGGAGTAAGGCTGGAGCACCACTGGGTGTGGCCTCAAACTTTGATACTTCAACAAAGACTTGTTTTGCTTTGGGATCACACACTCAGCCAAACTCAAAGGTTACTCCTGGCTCTGAGTTCAGGGATCACTCTTGGCAGTGCTTGGAGGACCATATGGGATGCCGGTGATTGAACCCCGGTCAGCCCCATGCAAGAGAAATATCCTACCCCTTGTACTATGGCTCAGGTCTCTCAAAAAATTTTTTTCAACAGAGGCAAGGAGGTAGGGCCCTTGCTCTGCTTGCATCTGACTCAAGTTCAATCCCTGGCAGGTCATATGTTCCCCCCTCCCCCACCCACTGCACTGCCATAAGTGATCCCTGAGCACAGCTGGGTGTGGCCCAAACAAACAAAAAAAGAAGAGTAATGGGAGGGCCAAGGGAAAAGCTGGAAAGAGCAGCAGAGCTCAAGTTTAGCGTGCAGGAGGCCCACTCATGTTCTGTCCGTGGCCCTGCATGGACCCCCAAGTACCATCCGGAGCAAGCACCGAGCCAGGAGTAGCCCCAGAGCACCACTATGTAGAACAAAAACAGTTTGTGGGGGGAAAGATTTGGGGTAGAGTTCAGCTAGGCCAGGCCTGAAAAATAAAGATAAGAGAAAGTACTCCTCCCATGACTGAAGAGAAGGTAGATAAGGAAAAGAGCCTCCCGCAGCCACCTTCCAGCAATGCTACTCGTCTTTCTACATGCTTAGGACACTCCAACACACATGCCCCAGCTCACCCCAGCTCACCAGCTCAGCAGAGCCAACCCCCACCGCTCTGGGCTGGCACCTGCCCCACCCGTGGTGCCCACAACCTGCCTACCTGACTCACATCCTCTGCATGGGCTGCCAACGTGTCCGACCTCCCCAGGCCGTTTGCCCGGGACTGGGGTTTCTAGGTAGATGTCTGGGAAGAGCTGATATGGACCTCCACTGTGGAAAGTGGGTCCTACCAGGGCAGGGAGTGCATTCGCTTTGCACACGACAGACATGGGTTCGATCCCCGGCATCCCATATGACCCCCCAAGCACTGCCAGAAGCAATCTCTGAGTGCAGAGCCAGGAGCAACCCCTGAGAACCCCCAGGTATAGCCAAAAAAAAAAAAAAAACCCAAGAGGACCAATTGCCAAGAGAAACATATGTATTGTTAAATCATGCTCTGCGAAATGTTTGCAGAAAAACAATGTAGCCTTAGAGTTGGAATTAATGAGCCAATGAGGCTCTCTCACTGCCTGCCCCGTGTTTCACCAAGACAGACCCATGCCCACAGCAGTCAAACGTTTCTCATGTGAGTGATGAGGAAAATGGTGAGCTAGGAGAGCTGGATCCTGGGGACCCTCAGTTTGTCCTGTGTCACCTGAGGACAGAGGGCAGCTCCACAATCTCCAGCAAGTCTGAAATCTTAGGTGAGAGGTGAAAGTAGAGGTCATAGGTGTTTTTTTTTCTTTTTTTTGCTTTTTGGGTCACACCCAGCGATGCTCAGGGGTTACTCCTGGCTCTGCACTCAGGAATTACTCCTGGCGGTACTCGGGGAACCATATGGGATGCTGGGAATCGAACCCAGGTTGGCCGGGTGCAAGGCAGACGCCCTACCCGCTGTGCTATCGCTCCAGCCCCCAAGGGGTCATAGTTTTTTTTGTCCAATTACTATATTAATTAAGCAGCACCAGGCCCTGGAGTGGAACAAGGTCAAGGCCTCTCCCTGTAGCACTGGGGATTGAGAGCCCCATCCTGTCTCCCATCTCCTCGCTCCTCCCCCGCTTCTGAGCAGGGTCAGTGGGGTCAGAGGGCAGACACCCACCTGTGGCTCTCGTCCTGGCCCTGTTTTCCCCAGAACTCCCGGGGTGGACCTACCGGTGGATCTGGGGTGGATCTCAGGGTGGGACTCTGGAGTTGATCTTGGGGTGGATCTCAGGGTGGGTCTCCGGGGCTAGTCTTGGGGTGGGCCTCTGGGTGGTTTATCTCACCAGACCCCCCAGCCAGAGCCCGCCTCTTCACTGGCCGCTAGAGGGCTCCGACGGCTCAGCCGCTTCCCGCTCCCTCTAGTGGCCAGTTGGGGATTTGTAAGAAAGAACTTGGAGGCGGGTGAAGAGAAACAGTTACCATTAGAACAGTGCTACAGAGTAACATTCTGACTTAAGTATTTTCCGTCCTATGCCAAGTGTTTTATAATTGAGTAATAGAGTGACATTGATCTATTGAATTCCAAAACACCTATAATAGAAACATTATTGCTATTTCTGTTTCTCCCACGGGCTGGAGCAATAGCACAGCCGGAGGGCGTTTGCCAGCCAGCCCGGGTTCGATTCCTCGGCCCCTCTCGGAGAGCCCGGCAAGCTGCCGAGAGTATCTCGATATATTCAATATGCCAAACACAGTAACAACAAGTCCCAAATATGCCAAACACAGTAACAAGTCCCAAAATGGAGACGTTACTGGGCCCGCTTGAGCAAATCGATGAACAACGGGAGGACAGAGTTTGTTTCTACCATGTGTGAGGGTGGGGGGGGGGGCTGCTCCTGGTAGCGTCCCAGATCCACCGAGGTCTTGATGAGCAGAGTGTGTGTACCAGCCTCTGCTGCCCCCTGCTGCACCTCCTCCCTTTGACGATGGAGCCAGGAGAATTCATGGCTCAGGGCACTTACCTGGCGCACCCGAGGTCATGAGTCCAAAGCTGGTGTCGTCCACAAGCACTGACAGGACCCAGAGAGCCCAGCTCTTCAGCATTCCCCAGAGGGGCAAGGTAGCTCAATGGGTAGAGAGCAGTTAGGGTGGGGTGGGAGAGATAGCAGAGTGGGTAGGGCATCTGCCTTGCATGCGGCCGACTCGGGTTCAATCCCTGGTGTCCCATATGCTCCGCTGAGCACTGCCAGGAGTAATTCCTGAGTGCAGAGTCAGGAGTAATCCCTGAGCATTGCTCTGTGTGACCAAAAAAAGAGAAAAAAAAAAAAAGAATCTGGGGGACTTGCATAAATCTTGGCAGTGCCTACACATGTGAAGTTTTTGATTGATCCCCCAAGTGGGAAAACATCAAAAAGTAACTAGAAGGCTGGAGAGATAGCACAGCGGGGAGGGCGTTTACCTTGC